GAAAACGATAGATGCTGGTATGACTGATACCCCGGGCGGCCAAACCTGGCACGATCTCCATGAGTCGTCTCTGGATCACACTCGTTGTAATGAACTGGAGGTCCTTCTGAGCGACGCTTTGGATCTCATCGTTCCCAAATTTGGCGTCCCGGATGAGCTTAGCGATGAAGTCCATCAAGGAGGCTTTGAGGTCGGGGAACTGTAGGCGAAGAGAATGGCTATTGGCTCTGTAGTCGAATCTGGCGTTGGGGTGCTTTCGTATGCTTCTAGTGCGAGGGGGGCTGTAGTTCTCCGTCTCGAGGACGTTGTTGAAGCGATGAGGAATTGATGCTGCTGGGATGTGCTCGACACGAGTCAAGATTGGCTGATTGTCGGGGAGTTCTGTTGCCAATGATTGGTGGGTAGGCAATGGTACTGGAACAGTGATGCAGTTGTCATTAATGTCAGCTGTCTTCTGGGTAGATACCAAACGGTGATTGGAACTCGGCGAGTCGCTAAATGGCGACAAGACGGGGACGATATCGGCTATTGGCGACGCTATAGAGGACGGACCATGACTTGGTGACGAAGCTGGTAGCACAGAAGGGTACACATTGCCATTGACGTCAATCACAGTGTGATGATCATAGTCCATCGGGACAGGATCAGCGGTTGTTATTTGGTCAGCCCCCTCTTCGTTGTCATAAACTTGAAGTTTGTCATCGATGGCAGTTGAGTGTGCCGTGTCGCCTAAAACGTCGGAAACCATCTCGAAGAGCCAATCGAGACCTTCAGTCCAATCATAGCATAAGCCTTCAGACCCACACGCCCCATCGCAGCAGAGATCATTGGGAACGGTGGCAGAGCAAGTCGATATCAAAAGTTCTTGGGACACGGATGCCATGATGTAATTAGACTAAGGAATTAATAGTTCTGTTCTCAGTGAAGAAGATAATCGCAGATCTGATTACCCTCTCGAAATCAACATTCTTATAATCCGAGATCATGAACCGTAAAAGCCGATGGCACGCGCGCACGCGAAACCCGCTTAAACACAACGCACAAAGATACCCAAAAAGGGCCTCAGCGTGAGTACTCATTGGATGGCTGCGAAACAGTCTCACCCGATTGGTCAATTATCGAAGTCACATGATCATGGCGGATGTTCCAAGACAATGGCGTTTCTTTCACCTTTCATCCATCCAGCAGATCGCTCTCGGATTATCTTCCGGTGTGAGAGAAGAACAATACCCTAAACCTTCGCTAATCCGTATAGCTTTTCCGGCGTGCCAACCAAAGGGTGCCGATAACCGGAAAGATCAAAGCTTCATAATGGTGACTTTGATAGGCCTACTATAATGTTTAGATGATCGGGCTCATCATTAGCTAAATGGTACAATGCTGAAGCAATTTTTTAGGGTTCATTGTTTATTGGAGAAGGCAGAATTTGAATGGGCAGATTATCTCTTGGCACTCTCGATAGGTCCGTACAGCCATACAGGTAACGGACCGAAAAGCAGTATTATATAATATAAAGTTTAAAATAGTGAAAACAAAAAGAAGACTTCATTTATAGCTGTCGTGGGGAAACAAAAACTTTATTGCGGCGTCACCAAGACCAAGACGTACGTGTGTCATTCAATCTTAAACCATTTTAAAGGTAAAATACAAGGTCCATTCAATATAGTTAGCACAACATCAGAAGAATAAAAGGAAGCACCATTAAACGCATACTGAGGCTTGGCAGGTTGATGGTATCATGATTTGGCAAATAATAACATTAATACATTCGGGGGGGGGGGGGGGTATATAGAGAAATGGTAGAGTGATTGAAAGGTGTTGGAGTAGTAAATTAGAAAACTGAATTAAAAACAACTGGTAAAATGTTGACATCATATTGAAAAGAAAATAACAAGAATAATCTAACCTTTCTTTCAAATGAATTTAAAATTGGGTTTTTCTTCACGAGAAGGACAAGAAATTTCAAGGAGATAATGAACTCTGGATGGCGAGCTTTCAAAATTCAGTCGGTCAAAATTAATGAAAAGATATTAATGCTGTTTCAGGTCTTTTCATATAGAAGTAAAACGAATGGTACAATGTCCTCTACAAGAACATTAACCACAACGATACAAAAGCCCTCTTATACAAGAGATGTGTCAAAATCCCCATGTTACCGAAGGGGATTTGAAGGTGAATGGAAATTGATAGTTATTTCCTAAATATGCGGGTTTTTTTTTTGTTTTTGTTGCTTATTTAAAAAAAAAAAATCATCTACGACAATGTCATCGCTTGCCCAAATCAATATGAACGGTGGCGGTCGCTTGAGAATTGCTTATTCCCAAATTTTGGTGGGGGCCCTAACCCCTTCCCCGCCCTCTTGACATAAGATAATGATGGGCAGCACGCACAATTATTTTTCCGAATGTGAAGTGAACATTGTTTTTGACGATAAAATTAGCAGTGGAAGGAGCTAACGAAGTCTAAAGCGACATTAGTGTCGACAACAAGAAAACTGCCTCAATTACACCTGATTTTTTTTTTGGGGGGGGGGGTGGGGGGCAGGGGTCTATTTCTCATGCCTCTAATCACTTGCTTCGTTTTTTAACCACTCAACTTCTCAATTTGAAGAAAGAAAAAAAAAATCAAAATCAAATCAAAGTTTGTCGATACACCATGCGCCGTCATGATTGTGGGTATTGGCGGATACATAGGGAGGCTTAATTGGCCCATGTCACCTTTTAAACTCTAAATTTGTAAGCAATCATTTCTTCTCTTTATTTTTCATATTACCTTTGGTCCAATATTGCAGGTAAATTTTTACGGGGGCGGGGATGGGTCATAATTATACACCCCTTTATATCCCGACTGTGATACATGGTTCGCAAAGGCGGAATATTAATGAAGTAAGCACGATTATTATTTTTCCCAGCAGTTTCTGTTTTCATGTCAGCTCAAAAACATCTCGCCGAAAATTGGTAGCGCCATCTACCATCACTGTGCTTCATCATTATGATTCCGGTTTGGGGGCTTTTCCATTTGGGCAAAGCCGGCCTGAATATAAAGTTGTATTATTTTACAAGTCCCTATCACTATTTTACAATTCATTTTTCTAAAAATTCATTTAAACTTGATAGTTTTCAAATATAGTACATAATTTATAGATGACTTTCAGTAATTCTGCATATCGAAGAATCATTCCGAATTTCCGAAAGCATAGTATCTTGTAATTTTCTCATAGTATACAGTATCTATCTTGTCCATATTCCAATCAGTAAAGTCCAACTGAAGATATAGCGCCTATAATTATAAAGCCTGAAAAAATCCCCCCCCCCCCACTCAGTGTTATTTAGGGTACCCTGTGTTCCCTCCTTTTGAAAACACTCCCTAAGTCCGGTGTGTAAAGTCTTGTTTGTGTATGTACGAGCCGGACTTTGGTGCGTGAAGAGTACCCCTTTACCGGACATTTTGGTAACACGCATGCGGTCATTGCGACCCCGGAGTGGGGGGGGGGGGGGGGGGGGGGGGGGTAGAATGATCAATATGCAGATTTTAATAAAGAAAGATTTATAGTACAGGGCCTGAACAGTAACAATATAAACATTGTCATTATCCGATGCATATTACCTGTATACCACCACTTCGATTATAATTGTTGCCGGGGTCCTGGGGGGGGGGGGGGGGTAAAGTTTGTGAGTGTGAGTCAATTAAGACCTTGACATAGTGATGCTTATTCCGACGGCCTGATAACAAAATTCCACCGACCCCCCCCCCCCCCCACCGACCGCCCCGACTATTTCAAGGTGGAGCGCAGTAAAGCAATTACCCCCCCCCCCCCAGGGAGCGGATCCAGCAGGGGAGGGGCCAAATTTGTGAGAAAATATTTAGCAGCGAAACAGCCAGCCGGTGGATAAGCGGGGGGGGGGGGGGGGGGGGGGGGAGGGGGGGGGAGGGGGTGGGAGGTAGTGAGCAACACTAATTTTTGTTTGCCCTCGAAAATTTGAAAATTTGCACCCCCCTCCTCCTTGAGGTTCGTCACCAAATAAAAATCAACGTTTTTTAATAATAATAATAATAATAATAATGGATTCTTTTATAGGGCACGTATCAACCTTGCAAGGTCCTCAAGGCGCTCCAACATTACCAAGCTATGCTAGGCTGCCGATTTCGACGCTCACAGCATTTTAAGGAATTCCTTCCTACCTCCCTGGATCCGCCACCGACCCCCACCCCACCCCCCCCCCCCCCGCACGACCCTGTGTAGTGCGTGTAAGTTTTAATGGGGCCCTACCAAAGAGTCCATAACATCTCTCCACCTCCTTGTAAATATGCCTAGTTTAGTCCTCTGCTATACGTAATATAGTGGGCTCCGCCCCCTAGTATAGACTGAATTATCTTCACCTATAAGGTTATTAGGCTTATTTTGAAAGTAATTTTAAAGAAATATTCGTCGTTCACCGTAATGCTAAAAAATAGGATTTAGCGTTTATTAATCGTGACAATAATACGGTTATTTAGGGCGATTTTCAGTAAAATTAATGAACCCATAATATCTGGACTACAAGTTGCATTCCTCTAGCAGTGGAAAGCAGCCATGCAAAAAATCACAGGTTGAGTAAATCCGTCGTAAACTCATTCATCGTTGATTTTCTGTAAGCTGCATTCATAAAATATTGCTAAAATTATTGATTTTGTTGGGTTACTTTTCAGTAGCAGACCGCCAAATCGGCCTGACGGGATTCGGGCACCCGGAAGCTATTGGCGAGCCGATTGACTGAACTCGGCTCGCGTCTGTATACTCGCGGGGGATTGGCAATATGTGGCAAGGCTAGTTAACTCACCGAGTAAGAATATAGTAATAGAAAAGTGACTTTCGTATTTTAAATTTCGATCTATTAAATCTGTTAAGTTTAAACAATGACTACAAAATTGCACTATTTATGTTCTTTGATATATATAATTATTTAATGAGCTATAGCTATTATATCAGTAAAAGGGAATGGATATTATTTTATCCGGAACTATTTGCTGCTTCTCTCTATTCATGTCGGCCTGCATGAGTTCATTTGGTCGGTACACCGTTAACAAATTTCTTTGATTCTTCTCAATTCTTCAGGTTGTGGAAATAAAACTTTAATATATTAGTGGATATCAGAATCTAGCAAGATGTCGCAAGTTTTGCCCATCCGTTTTCAGGAGCATTTGCAGGTAAGCCGTCGGTATTTACAGGTTTCAGTAAGGTATATTTTTAGTATCGCGTACGTGTAAGGTGTATGGCCTGTGTGTATGATTCATCAATATAAAGATCCGGTGAGTGTGTACGGTCATGTGTGTAAGAAATGTGTGAGAGATACACGCCCTCCAGTAAAAAAAAGATAACGCCGGTTTTTGATCGACATTCTTTTCTCATTTACATACATTATGTTTCACTAATTCACATAAATTTCGACATATAATTATCCATGTCAATGAACGATTATGTGATATTTCTAGTGTGTTAGTTACTCTAACCAGACCTTCAAAGGTGTTTTCTACAGTCAAGATCTGACAAGAATATATCAAAATTAAAAATAAAGTCTGAATGATTGTCAGACACAGATATGCACTGCACTGAAAAAGGGGAGGTTCATAATCTTGGTGAAACTAAATTTGTAGTTTTTCCTGCACAGTGTAGAGTTAAGCCTAAATATATAGATCTAGATCTATTATTTTAAGTAACAGACAAATACATGCAGAAATCGCAGAGCTGAGATCTTGAAGTGAAATTGACATAGGCCTAGACCTAGTCTAGATCTATAATTATAAATATTAATATAATAGGCCTAATTGTCTTTCATGATTGAATGACATTGACATAGGTCTAGGCCTAGACTAATCCTAGCTCTAGGCCTATTTTGATCAAGTTGTGCACTAGTTGCTAGACAGAAATAACAGTTTGCTCTTGGGAATTCTGTAATAAACTGACATTTTGTTGACCTTCACCATACACTAACGGCGGTCAGCGGAACCAGATGATGTCTCACTCTCAGTGGAACAACCATCGATATCTTCAAGATAGAAGCTTTCAGACTTGTCGTGCACCTGTCCTTACATCTACATCTACCTTTCTTAAAGCTACAGAGAGCTACAAAGAATCTTTAAACCCCCTGAAAAATCACTTTCCTGTGCACCCTACTGACGAGCGCAAGCCCCACAAAGAGTACCTACATCTGAGTGGAAACCAGTCCTTTCAGAGTGGATACCCATTCACAGTCCATTAACAAACAAAACCAATCTCAATTTGTCCATTAAAATTCATGTTGTATTGGAAATGAACAAACTGTGATGCTAGTGCTGAAAAGAGCCTATAATAAAATATATCATGGTCTCCTATCTGAAATCCTAAAGTATGTCATAAATATTTTGATTTTGATAATGCTAAGGACACATACATGTACTAGTATATTCCATCATAGGCACACTTAAAAGTTCTAATGACTTTGCATTTATATCCTCATTGACTGTAGAAAACTCCCATGAGATAAATTTGTTTTGTTCAGTTCAATCTGACTTCTCTAAAATTACAAACTTATGCTAAACGTCTGGCAGTATTAAGAATGTGTTAGCCGTGTGCAAATCATATTGCCAGACCAAAAGACACCCATCATTTTTTGTACAGTCTTTGCTACACTCAAAAGGTCCAAACCACAGGCAGGAAATCAAATATTTATCTTTATGATCGTAAGTGATACTTTTCAAGTTGTCATAATTTTTCTCACCTGATGGGGTGATCACATGTCATAAAATCTGCCACAATGTACAAGACATGTACATTAAGAAGTCCATAATTGCATTAATAGTTTGCCCCCTTCAGACTATGTACCTGGGCTAAATCAACAAATTAAAGTTTGATGGTTGCTCCCTGTGCTGATTGTACCTTACCCATCACAATCAAAGGGAACCCTTCGAGAGCTTGTATTTTCATAGTACTTACCTCATAGTTTTATGATAATGATTCTTGGAAACCATGCTGAAAAAAATAGCTGTATACAATTATTCTTGTTACCGTATCTCCTTCACAGTTCCCGTACACTCATGTACATCATGTACTGTAGGTCTCTCCTGTGTTTTAAGCCCACATGTATTCTTTCATATGACTGTCATCAACCATGCACAATTTGGGAAGAATTCTACTCCTAAAAAAAAAAAACCTAAATCGTATAAATTTACATTCTAAAAATATTAATTCCAAAGTAATTTTGATGGCATGTAGAGATGTTCCCTTTCTCAGAATACCAGTACACATAAATCATCAAATTCAAATATTTTATTGAAATTTTATTTCATCCATAAATTTTTTGCCTGAATGTATTACAGTATGACCTTTGCTGCAAAATGTGGTTTCTAGTTGTGTGAAAAGAGCAAAGAAATGAGCAAAGAACTAGGCAGAATAAATCTGTACCCCCCCAAAAAAAAAAAAATATATATATACATTTATATCTAAATACAGACTTCCTGAAGTCCTGATAGCCTACTTTCATTGAATACATGTGTAGATAAATCAAACACAGTTGATGAAGAGGTATTTCTGAGTTGGATGGTCTGGATTTCACACTTGCTTTCTTTTTCTTTCTTTCTCTGTCTCTCCACATTTACAATGTAAGTTGTGTCAAGTCCCAGACATTTCCTCCTGAGCCAGAAAAAAATCAGGATGAAGTCATTTGTATAACTTCAGTGTGATTCAGTCAATGCTATTTATATCATGACATTTAAGTGAATGCCATGTAGAATGGTATGAGGGTTCCAAACTGCAAGCTTATGTGATACTGCAGTTGGCATTGAACTGTTTTTCGGTTTCTCTATTAATTGAAGTGTCAGATATAATTGTTTTATTCCTTTTCATTATAGTAGGATCCTGTTTACTTGTAAAGTATTTTGTCTACATTTAGCATTTTAGCTTCATGTTGCAAAATGTACTGCAGACAACTGTATGATTTTTTTCATTCTTTCTTCATATTTAAATGTAATTATTGAACAACTTTTCCCTTTCTGTGTGATGTCGGTAGATCTCTGTGCTTTGTGATCTGCACATTGAGTAATCAAGAAGTTAAATTGGTTCTCCTGACCAGTCAGTGAAAGTGAACAGAGCCAATCTATTTGAAGAGGTGTTGTGTAATGTAGGGCTACATGTACAAGTATATTAATATTGAAAAAAAAATTGTCAGGTTTCAATTTAGAATTTTAGCGGCAGCAAATAAAAATTGCACAAATTCCGCCTGTGGGGTTCTATTTATAAAATATCTTACAAAGCAACTTTGAAAATTAACATCATTTACTTTAAACACAGCAAACATAAAGTGTCAAATCCTCTTCTTTTTTTTTAATTTCAAAAGTTCTTTACTACCCTTATAAATATTGAATTTGTATCATGTCCTTTCCAAATTGTGACTTTCAGTGTATGTATGCAGGATGAACCACTGTATTACACCTCAGTCAATCACTCTAGATGACCTCTTGGTGTCCACCAGATAGGAAACGAGGAAGCAACCGTTGTAGAGCCCTGAGACTATTACGTTTCCTTCCACAAAGTAAATACTAAAAACAGTTGAGATTTCCCTCTAGAGTCTGGACTAAACCAACCGTCTATGGTTGATCTGGTTGCCAGCTATGAAGAACCGTTCCTGCACCCATCCCATTCCCAGGCATCACAGGTTTAAGAATTTGATGTTGACCACCTGTTTCACAATAAAAGGAAACCTCAAGACGATACTTTAGCTTAAAGGGGGTGTAAACTGACGAGACTACGTGTCCTGACTTGAAGCCGATCAAGTATAATACGACTACAGACAATGCGACTGCAGCAATCACATGCGTGCTACATACGCGAAACCGAAGCATGAGGAGTACTATGGTCTGTTTCGTGAATGCTGACCATGTAGAGATTAAGTCGCTGACTACCGTTAATCAAGTCCATTCGTTTACGTGCAGTTGTCCGAGAGGAGACGTAGATGGTGTCCCTCAATTCGTCAGTTTACACCCTCTTTAATGAGCTAGGCTGACTCTGAAATACAGGAAACAGAAAACTCTCCATTATTGTATCTTGCTATGAATCTCCTGCAAGTTATTTAATAATACACAAATCAAAATTATTATTCATAGGCTCATTTATACGTTACTTATATTATAAACATTGAATTTTTATAAGTAAATTTTTATGTAAGTCAGTGTCCAGAATAGAATGGCCTGCACCATGGAAATTTAACCAAGAACAAAAACAGTTAAAAAGCTGCATTTACATTGCAAACAACAATCAATTATTTTTCTCACATTCCGATGTTCCGCTGGTAGTTGCTATGCAACTGCAATTGTTGCTAGGTAGATCAAAGATTTTGGCTTGTCCTACCTAACAACACGTAATGTATGCAATTTGCATTCCAACTTTTGAAGTACAATTAGTCGTAACAGGTGAATGAAATAATTTGTAACGAGGCATTTAACAAAGATGTGTGCATTAAATATGATTACATTATGAAAATGGGACTAGAAATCCAATCTTTTCGTTACAACAAATTAGTTATTAAATAATTAAAGCTTATGAATATTTTGCCTTTACATATATGCACATGAAATTAAAGAGTGATTTTAATACATCAAACACGAGTGGACATGTACTTCTTGTATAGAAATCCAAGATGGGCCGTTGTAAATTTGTGCACTCATGCTTGGCTGAATGAATTGGCTACATGTAATTTGATTCAGCCACAGATACATTGATATACGGTAGTATGCAAGTGTAGTGGTGATTTGCATGCACACCCATTCATAAAACCACGAGTGTATTCAGTGATTCAGGAACGTCCTCTGGGTATGTGGCTGTGTGCATTCCTGAGGGCAGATGGGTGGGAGAAAGGGGTCCAAAGAATTGAAATACCTATTACATGAATCACAACAAACAGTGACATCATAGGTCATGAACTTCTCCTAATTACCGGTAGTGAATTCATTAGCAGGGCATGCTTTAATTGCATGCCAACTGCAGCAGAATGTAGGCCTAGTATTTATGAACATGTACATATACATGTATGTGAAGTCTGCATTAAAACATATTGCAATTTATCAATCCAGAAATAGAATTTGATTTCCTAATATTATGAACACTAAATCAACCAACATATAATTTTTTGTTCATTAATGCCCTTGCATGACAAGGCTACACACATACAAAGTAGTTTATACAGAGAAGATCAAATTAGCAGTGAAAGGATAATAATCTTGAACATCATCTACATTTACAAATATATTTACATTTACTGGTTGACAATGTGAAAACAATGTACACATGAATTAAAGTGTTCATGAAAATCAATTTTTAACAGTAGACAAGGTTCACATGGATGAACAGACATGCAAATCTAAGCCTACATGTTCATGTACATGTACATGTTGACATTTCTCCTAACAGCAACAGATGTGTCACTTGAAATGAAAATAGAAACATCTTGTATGATCAGATTACACCATCAGAAGTTGTAGAATTTAACCAGATGTGTGACTGTGACCTTCTAAAGTAAAACCAACTCAGACTTTATGTCAATATGAGCTGACAAATGACAATAGTTAATTTGGTTTAAAGGTATCATCTTTTTTTTCTTCCAACCATCAGTTACCGGTACCTTATATCCAAACTATTTTGGAATTTATGTATGATGAACATCCTCTGGGTCATCGAAGGAATGTAAACCACTTCCTAGAATAAATTGTCAGGAAGGTCCGAAGGTGTAGTTTAGACATTTTTATTCTGCCACTGTTTGCACCAATCAACCTTTTTCATTATTACAATTTTCTTTTAATTGAATTGAAATTACCATACTCTACGTGTACATGTACATGTACTGTACATGTACATGTATGTACGAATCAATTCAATTGAATATTAGGTTTGGGCCTATATGTTTGTTTGTTTTGTTAATTTGAATGCATTTACATTGCATACATGCACATAGAAACTGATACCAGTTACATACATGTACATGTACATGTGTATTCAATCAGAAGTAGAAGAGGAAATGATACTTTTTATTAAATCAAATGAAATGATAACCATTTTTAAGGAATAACTCCTTGCTATTTCCGTTCTAAATTGGCATACCGTAACTTACCAAAGTATAGGCCGTATAATTTGTTTTGAAATGGTATTGAGAACAGTTTTTAAGTAATCCTTTATAATTTTATTTTGCTCTACGAGATATTTATCAACAGTACAGTGAGATTTCAAACAGTACTATTTTTCTAATTTTTCATTTGGAAGGAAGGGGCTCAGGTCTATTATTACATGTACATGTATATTTACAACAAAAGTCATCTCACTATTTTTATTTATAGTCTACTTCATTCAGAAGAGGAGAGGAAAAAAATAATATCAAGCAGGCATACTGTACATGTAATGAGTTTTGTACAGAAAGCAAAAATGCATTTATGGCTTTCAGAGTGGTGAGCAAAGGAGTTGTGTGTTCATGTGCATGTGTGAGATGCTGTGTGTATGAGATGCTTTGGTACAATAGATGCATGTGTGTGTGTGGTTATCCTATGGATTAGATTTGATCAAGAATTATGTGTGCATCTTTTAGCGATGGAATTGAATGTCCATATGTTTATTGAGGTAGCAGTTTTCATGTGACTGTGAAAGATGGTTGCATTTAAATGATGTGGAAAAAAACACATAAAATTGTATTGACGATGTACAGAAAGGTGAATGGTAATGAAGAATGTTGGAGACGCTGGTATTTCCCCTCATTTTTAATAGAAGATAAGAGGAGTTTATTAACCTTGGCTGAATTAAGAGTGGAATTCATGAATATTTGAAGACTAAAGAGCCTTACAGGCAATTACGAAATAGAGTACACCTGACGCATTACAAATCCTTTGAATATTTAATGTTGAATTAAAGGCATTTCACCTTAAAAGATACTTAAAAGCAGCATTTATCGACGAGAAAAGGTTGATTGTAATTGAAAAGCAATTGTCCTGTCACCCTCTGTTAAACTTTCTATGACAAAATAAGAAGATGAGAATATTTCTGTTGATATTTAAAACTCTTGTGAGCATTCAACATTTGCTACATGTACATTGTATTTGCCTAGTTATTTTGGCTGTAGAAGAAATACATAAAGATTAGACTTTATTAAAAACAATGTTAAGCATAAAGCAACACAAAACATACAGAATCAAGGGGTAATGTAATTGAATGATTAATATTCTTGTAAAAAATTCAATATAAAGAGATCATTTTTTTGACAATATAATTACACTGCATATACTGTAGGCCCCTATTAAATGATATTTGTTATCGCAATAAATTTATTAAACAGTAATAGATGCTGCAGCATCAGTTTCTAGATGAAATTGAAACAATATCACACAAGTATTGTAAAACTTTAATGTATGTGATATATCTTACTCCAAACAGCTCCAGAATCTGGGCATCAATGCCGCCAACATCGGATTCAGCACCCTGACCATGGAGTCGGACAAGTTCATCTGCGTGAGGGAGAAGGTAGGTGACCAGGCCCAGGTGGTCATCATCGACCTCAACGACTCCGCAAACCCCATCAGAAGACCTATCTCTGCAGACTCAGCCATCATGAACCCTGCCAGCAAGGTCATTGCCCTCAAAGGTGAGAGGTCATACAGTTTTACATTCATGTGAACATTTTGAATATGAAGGAAAGCAAAGAACTCTGTCATCTACAAAATATAAATTTGCAGGATTCTTGATGCCCTCTGCACAACAACCCAACATTAAAAATGCCTTTATATAGTTTAGATCTTGACTTAATATGGCAATGAATGATAAAAGCAGATAATTTCGCCTACCATTCTCAAAATTGCACATTGAATTATGCATCAGGTGTGTTCATTACTATTAATTTTAAGATACAGATTGTCCATAATTATTGTTATAAAGCAGAAACCATTTCATACGTATAAACGTTAATTATAATTGTGCAATGGATTGTGAGACAGATTTTTTTCTAATGAAAACTTTGGATAAATGTAGGTAATGCAGTACTCACTGAGTTGACTGACGCTAAGCTCCTACCTTCTCACTTTCATCAATGCCTAAATATATGTACCCTGACTAAGCTAGATTTCCAAATTGGCCTGATGTGTGGATCATTTGATTTCCCACAAATATCTGTCGCTTAGAATCTAGGTTTCCTATGCGGATTTGTGATTCGGGATAAAGATAAAAAGCTCTCTGACATACTGTAAGTAGTGTACGCGTACGTGATGCTGACTGCTAGATCAAGACAGAATCAAGGTTATGAATATAAACACTATTTAGGATTCATTGTATGTACTTTGAATACATGGCTTTATAATGAATGAGCTTCTTTACACAGTCAGGGGCTTGCCTCATACAAGCTCTGCTTTTTTAGCAAGCCCCTCCGTTTTGAATTACTTCATCAAGGTCATTTTTTTTTCTATTGTTCAGTACTGTTTTTTCCCAATATTTCTTATCAACTAAATTTTGTTCTACATAATACTGAATTTACTTTGTTTATATTATATTTGACTGTATTATATTATGTCTGTTTATATTTTGTTTGTTTTGAAACGGAAATAAATCTGAATCTGAATTTATCTAATTTTCTATTGAAATGCTCTTTTCTAGAGATAGATATATTCATTTATTCATTTGATAGGCAATGCTAAAAATACATGTCATAGTGGACTTGTGGTGGCTAACAAAATTGCTACATTTCAATTCCAATAATCATCCAACAGCAACTTTCCATTTTCATTATGATGATTGGAAGCTATGCAAAGAGAAATTATCCATCGAGACCCAGAAGGGGATAACACATCTTCTGGATCTCAACAGATGTATAATCACCTATTTACACTACATGTATCTCTCATACTAATAATATTGAATTTCTATCGATCAATTACTTCAGCAGACATGCACATATACTTATCAGAACCAAAAACAAAACTATCACCATAAAAATATTGATATTTTAGCCAGAATTTAAAGACAAAACATACATGTAGGCCCTATGTTTTCCTGACTCTAAACACATGTACCTAGTATGAAGGATTGAGCTGTACTGGTACTCAGTAAGGACCTTAAAATGTAAAGAATTTTCAACAACAAAAATGTCTGTTTAACTGTCCCTATTTTGCTGAGATACATATCAATAGTGATCTTCACTTATAACCAGTTTTAAAATTCTCTTCTTATCAAGAAAGTCTTTTCTTCAGGCCTTCATATTTCTTTTAAGAATTGCTGCTTAAAATTCAGAATGAATCCCATTAAAGTTTTAACTTAAAAATTTGTCATGATCTTCAATACTTGACAATGTATATCATATTTGTCTGGAAAAGAAATATGCGTTTCATCTCAGGCCCTATATCTTTGAAAAAATATTTTTTATTCATTGGTCAATTGGTTCACGTCCATTGAAAAAAACAATAAGTACCATTAGCTTTTTAATTTCCCTTCACACGCCCCGATATCCTAGGCAGGATCAGGCTTGGGCCACTCACCTAGGCCAGAGGGGATACCGCAATACGAGGCTAGAAAATCAATACAAGGACTCAATTAGTGGGATGGGTCAACTGATCCATGTGCCGATGATAGAGAGCCCCGTTATGTGTACTTCGCTCAACTGCGTCAGTCAGTCGGTCGGTCGGTGGCATAACCACTCATTTAAAATGCGAATGAGACGAATAGCATGGCGTAATGTACGTTATGCATGCACCCAAGGCTTACTGGCCACTGTTGCGAATGTCAGCAGATTAAGATTGCTGCATAGATTACAATGAAACCCTTTGAGCTATGGATGCCAGAGTAGTGGACATGCATCACTTTCAAAGGGCACAGAAGTGGGGAATTCTTTTTAGTACTTGACTTATTTTCACTTTCTCAGGTGAAATGAGAGTGCAAGTAACAGAGCTCTCAAGCATGTAATAATTGGAAAGCTTAAAATTGTTTTCCTCCTTTACTACTTTGATTTCTGAATGTTGTACAATTTCCAGTGGGCCATTTGCAGGCATATCTTAGTTTTGTTGAGCCTAGAAAAAAAGAAGAGATAGAGAGAGAGAGAAAAAAAGAAGAAGAGATGAACATAAAGGAGCACTGTTTAAATTAGCTCATTATAACTCAGAGAGAGCTATGGACAAAATCAATAAAATACGTTTAAATTATTGCAATCAAATCACTTTATCTCTAAAAGATATTTTTTTAAAGAGCCCCTGTATAAAGCAAAAATGTATTTCCCACTGTTCTATACTAAGAAATATTTACAAATGGCTTTTGATTAATATCAAGGGCCAAGTTGTAAAATGACTGAATTTGATTTAACCGTCCGGTATCCGACCGCCCATGGCGGATTCCGTTTGCAATTGGACGGTTTCGTTTACCCGTTTTTTTTTATTTATTTATTTTTTTTATAATTTTTTTTTTTTTTTTTATAATTTTTTTTTTTTTTTTTTTTTTAAGTTTCGATTTATGCCCCTCCACCTGGCACTATGCCTGGCAATGTCTCCCAGCTCAGTAATCGGTGTGATGACTTACCACTTGGAAACTAGAACAACACTCCAATTTGTCTGTCATCTTGGTTTGAAAGTAATCTTTGTAATAGATCTCAATATATATTCATCCAAGTTTAACACATGGTGTACCACAAGGTTCTATCCTAGGTCCTCTACTATTTTTAAATTTACTTTAATGATCTTACACATTATTCTAAAACGACATTGTTACTATTATTTGTGACTAGTTCACAAGCACAAATCGGCGCCTTCAGTTAAATTACCTTCCAGCTTTTTCACACGGACAAAAAAAAACCAAAAAAAAAACGATTTTTTTTTTTTTTTTTTTTTATAATAAATAAATCGTTTAACCGAAAACCGTCCGGTTTTGACAGGCGGTTAAACGGAATTGGAGATATCCGTGATGTTACAGCACTAGTTTGTACATTCCAAGAGTCAAGTGTACATGTAGGCATCCACATGCATCTTTCTCTGTACACTGTATACACAAACATTGAAGGTTTTGATTGCTTTCTCAAGAGGCTATCCTTTACATGTACATGGATGGAAAGCATTGGCATAGAATCATAAGAGGTTGAATCTAAAACCCCTTAATCATGTCTGGATAGTAACGAGGAGGATGTATTTAATCACGAGGTAGCGTTGCACACGTGGAAGATTAGTCATCACTATCCATATCAAAGAGCTTCTTACACTATGTTTGCCATTGCAATTGACCTACATGTACAATCATGTACACAGTACTGGTTAAATGAATATTAGTGTACAAACTGTACATGTAGGAAAAAAGACGATGAAAAGGAAAAACTGAGAATCAAAGAAAGAAAAAAACACCAACCAACAAACAAACACACACAAATTGAACAATTTATTTCAACAGCATAAACAAACAAACAAGAAACAAACATTATTTTTAGAGCTAATTTGGGGAAGGTAATCATGACTGAGTGTGCTCTCATGTATGCCATGTAAATGTACATGTATTATCCAATCACATATTTTTGGACATATTCATATTTTTGAAAGGCACTAATTAGTGCTTCAATATCTGGTATCATTGTTGACTGCAATCTACATGTATGTTATACATTTTAAGCTGTGTAACAATCTACCTGGAGAAGATGATGAGGAAATTTATTTTTCTTAATAGTTTCTTGTTGATGGATTGATAGGATGTTACGGGCTACCTGTACAGATACATATGAGTAATTGGCATAGTTTTAGGGAATTCAAGGATTCCTTTGAAATCACTTTGTGGTGTCCTGGGTATAATGGGGAGCAAAATGAGTAAACAGAGATATGATTGACAAAATAAAAAGTGGATGAATAATGAATTCTGACAAATGTCACTTTGGTCCAAATTCATGTAACTCTCTCAAAGAAAAAAAATATTGCTAATTGAAGGGTATATTTCCCTTTGGTTATATTTAAGAGAGTGAATTAATTATTCAGCCAGGTTTTGTCATACATCTAAGAATGGCATATATGTTGTACATGTATAAATTGTTGTTGATATAATGTTAAGAAATGAATACATTATTGTTTTAGCTTGGCAGGCGATCGTGTTGATCGTGTCGAGGAGGCGCGATAGCTCAGTCGGTAGAGCAGTGGTCTCGTAATCCGGTGACCCAGGTTCGAAACCAGGGCGATGCGCTAGTGCCCTTTGGTAAGGCATTAATCCTCATTACCAGGTCCCTCGGAGAGGACCTAAAGCCGTCAACCGTCTGGTTGCTTACTTACAAGCATTGATGCTTTCTTAGCAGTCAGGTAAAATAACAACCACCGTTCATTCAATCACATAGTCATGTTGAATATTTGACATACAAGTTTTATTGTTGTTGTTGCTGTTGTTTGTGTCCTTTTGTGCTTAAGTTGATGAAATTTAATTCTTTGTAATTTTTTTCATTTTTGTTCTCGTAGCTGGCCGCACCCTCCAGATCTTCAACATTGAGATGAAGAGCAAGATGAAGGCCCACACGATGACGGAGGAAGTCACCTTCTGGAAGTGGATCAATGTGAACACTATCGGTTTGGTGACGGATACCACCGTCTACCATTGGGGCATGGAGGGCGACTCCCAGCCTATCAAGGCATTTGACCGTCACTCTAGCTTGGCTGGATGTCAGATCATCAACTACAGGACGGACGCCAAGATGCAGTGGCTGCTGCTCATTGGTATCTCAGCGCAGGTAAGCGGAAAATAATGCTTGACCATGTAGGTCATGCCATGAGGGAGGATGGGTAATCTGTCCTTGGACTCTATGAAGAGAGGGTGAAATGAAGTAGAAGACACAGTTTTGTTCTGGGTAATGTTGCATGAAACTGTCAGAAGTATAAGTTCCTCGCCATCCCATTGAAATGCATGTAAAGTTTATTACTCACATTTCAATGGGATGTCGTTGAACTTGTACTAATGACCGTTTCGTGAATCGATGCCCAGGTGTACATGTAGGGATTAGATGAGTTCTGAACCTGATGCAACTCTTGATTAAATTCATTGTTACATTATAAAGAAAAGCAAGGCATCTCCCATGGTTTGATAAGGGTATGGTCTGCTTAATATGGTTGAGAGAAAGACTGCCTTACTTCAAAGTATGCTCAAATTTAACCAGCAATTTGATGGAGATGCAGATGGTTCCTTGTAATTCTTTGTTTTTCTCTGAAGCTCTGCCTTTTCCAGTTGAGGATTTCAAGATTATTGATATTAATATTTACCGAGAGACTTCGGGAATCATTCAATATTGACTTCAGTGGGAAAATGGCAGACTGTCCCTTTCTGTCCCTTTCTGTTGGCTAGATGTAATCATCTGCTCAATGGCTGGAAGAGTGTTTATTTTATGTAGGCTTTGTGTCTCGAGATGCCAATGATTCTGCTGGGAGTCATCAAGCTTGTACACTAATCTACCTATCACAGAAGGACTGATATGAAAAGCATTGGCCTTTTCAGCATTGCTTTCTTTGCTGGAATGGGATGTTGTTTTCAGGACTTAGTACTGAGTATGCTGTAAGCAGCTGACTGACTTGATTTTCTTGTCTGGCCAGATGTCAAGGAGGGAAAAAAATTGCACAATGAAAGCATGTTTGAATTAGCAGATATGATGAAATGTTGTTCAAGGTAGTTCTTGTGTGTTGCTAGTGACAGATTTACTCTTTGTCCAATGCACCAACTTTCTCAGTAACTTGGCAGATTTGTATCCTTCATCTTTAGGATGCGTTTGTGAGCTGGTGTACATTCTTTTTGCACAAGTTTAATTATTTTAGCTGACATGAGCCTTGTTGATGTTGTTCAAAAAGGATTCAAGTTCATGTGGTTTGGTGTAGATTTGACCTGGGATTAGTGCTAGTCTTTGCTCCAATCTTGTCTTGGTAGGTCCGTGGAATGATATTGTACTGTACATGTTGCACATGTGTGGCCTAACATCATATGGTGTTCTAGACCATGGAATATTATGGTTACCATTTATGTTTTGCTTTTAATTTCATTTCACATTTGGTTTTTAGGTCATAAAACATGCATTCAAGTCCATGAGATACATTTTGAATTGCTGTATTTATACAAGGACTCGTACAAAACCTTAGCATGACTCCAAGCAGGAAATGCATCCAATGTTAATGTTTACACAAGTATTTGTTTAGGGATATGTTTAACCATCCATGTTTCTGTTTGCTCTCCATTATTCTGCTCTTATTACAATGGTTATTTTTATTGCTTTAATTAAAACCTTCTTCAATCCTGCAGTCACACTAAACAACTCTTAAAGCTAAGTGCAGGAAATGAAGGCTCTGACAGGAAGCCATAAAAACAAACAAATTATATGGGGCCTTCTATTTCTGTCTCTGAAGTTGCGAGATAACACCAAACCTAAATTACTTGAAAATTGTGAGGTCACAAGTGAGTAGTAATCTTATTGTATTCATGAAAATTAGGAATTAAATATAATTTCAGAGAACAGGGATATAACTCTGGACACAAACTGCCTGTGCTGAAATGTTTTCCGTTCAAAACTAAAGCATGCATACATTGTATAATCCAGTTCAAAGTAACAGAGGTTATGTAGAGGAAAGTTAAAGTGTGATTCATAAGCTGCTTCTTACACGATGTATATTGTTTATCCTCAGATTGGAAAAGAACAGGAATCCGTTCCTCAGGTAGAAGACACAAAACAACTCTTATTTTTATTTAACACCCTGTAGAATGGCTAATGCTTTTAGCATGTGCCCTCTTTCTCTCTATCTCTCTCTACCCCTATGCACTTGCTTTGTTAACCCATTGACTTCCAACTACGCCAAGCTATGTAGTGGATTGCCTACCTTGCAGCAAAGCATGCTTGTCTAAGGATTAACACCCCTGTGTAGTGAAGGTATACTGTTCTCCTGTGGTCCAGGTACATGTAGATCATCCATGTGGTCTTTCGTAGTTGAAAGTGCTGTGTGTAAGAAAGTTTAGTTTGTTGAAGAAAAAAAAACAGATCTTTAGTCAAAGTCTGTTTCATGGTGTAATGTCTTAAAGATGCTAGATTCAATGAAAATGTGGTGGAAGGGATTTCTCTATAGGTTACTTGCAGTGACTACATGTAGATGCCAAATTTGTTTGAAGTGATTACTTTGTAATTGCAGTCAGCGCAGTAATTAATGTTGTAATGATTGAGTTGAGAATGATTCCCTAACTAGAATATATCTTCAGTGTGGCTTGCAGTGACTTTTCGGCACAATTTCAATTAAGAATTAGTCATCAAGATTCTCTCTATTTTGTTGGTGAAAACTGACCGATATGTATTTTTCACACAGAAACAAGTGAGCCAGTTTTGTTTTGTATCTAGAAGATAGAAATGTTTCTAGGAATATGCTTGTATATTTATTAGTATTATAGTAATCGTTGATTGCTGAATTCAGTAATAATGTTCCCCATAGCATTTATATCCTTACTAAATTAATTTGAAAAGGAAAAAAAAATCCAAATTAGCTTGACATTACCATTCATTAACGTGTAGAGAAAGCCCAGTAAGGGGGTTGGGGAATAAAAAATGACCTATTTAAACAAAACCCCTCAGTTACAAACTGTCGTACATGTGTAGACCCTAGGCAATACTTGATGCAAACTGGAGTGTAAATAACCTTTTAAAATCAGAATATCCCCAAATTTTGAAAGTTTGTCCCAGTAGGTAACATAGCAGGACCCTTTTGTATGATAGCTAGTGAAGAACTCTGTTCCTAGAGATGACTATAACCTGCATCTTCCCAATTCTCTGTCTTCTTTGTAGCAAAACCGTGTTGTTGGAGCGATGCAGTTGTACTCCGTGGAACGCAAGGTCAGCCAGCCGATCGAGGGTCACGCTGCGTGCTTCACGTCCTTCAAATTAGAGAACAACCCAGAGCTGTCCACTCTCTTCTGCTTTGGTGTCCGTGGTGCTGCAGGCGGCAAGGTAAGTCTCAAATGGAGGTTGTAAGATGCGGTAATTTACTACATTAACTGAATTCAGGTAGCTATGGTCAGCACTTAGTTAGCAGGGTGGCCTTGTCTCAAAGAAATTCTAAACTTTGATATTTACTATACCACGAGAATACATCCTCGATTCTGAAATGCTCACCTCTTTTAAAGCCCCACTGAACTACTTGTAGCTACTTGCACCCTCTATATAGCAAACAATGCCTGATTGGTGCCTGTTGGTCCCCATGATCTTCTTTTTTCTTATGTTAATTGAGAGCTGATTTGATGAGATAACCACCTGTCAGTGACCTTGCAAGGGGGTTTAATCCCCCCTTGCCAAACTAGTGCAGACAGGCTTTAAAGAATTTATCACCAAAGTGGTCAAAAACAGGACAATAATAAAAAATGTAGTATCGTGGAATGATCATCAGGAGACAAGTATTCAACAAGATACAACTCATGTGCTGGCAGTTGATGAATGACCTGTCCCCACATCTCCAGACTGGGGAAAACCCTTAACTTGTGTTTTATGCAGCAGCAATATATGACTGTGAAGATCATGAAAATCCAAAAACTGACAATCATCTGATTTAGGAGGTCAGTTGGCGTACATTTAGCAAATAACAGTGTAAATGTAATGTAAGAGATTGTCAATACATTCTGAACTGCATGATTGGTTTGGTTTTATGCAAATCAGATGGATGGAAACAATTCTAATGACTTGCTTGAATTGTTTGTGTTCTCTTTCAGCTGCACATCATTGAAGTTGGTTCCCCAGCCACAGGCAATCAGCCATTCACCAAGAAGGCCGTTGAGCTGTTTTTCCCACCAGAAGCCCAGAGTGATTTCCCTGTAGCCATGCAAGTAAGTCTAAAGATCCGACCTTTGACCCATTACCCTACTCACCTACAGATTAGTAAACGAAAGCAAAGAAAATAATAGTGAGAAATATTAAAGTAGTTATTAAAAAATGTTTTGAATCACTCAGCCAATTTACACAAAAATTAATGCTCTTCATGTTTCTGCCATCAACATCCATGCTCGAAGTCTAGTAGTACAGCTTATCTTGGGTTTTAGTAGTCGATATGTGTAAACTGTTGTGAAAAATGTATTATTTAATGAAATTGATGAAGCGTTCCCTGTTATCTGTTAATCCCCCACATTCGTATTTGTATTGCTTTTTTTTATTAATCAATCTTCTAGTTTATATTTATATGCTTCTTCCTATTCATTGTAATTTCATTTGAATTGTAGAAATAAATCGTATAAAACTAAATGCCTGCCCCTTTACTTCATTCTCTCCTCCAGGTAAGTCCCAAACACAATGTCATCTTCCTCATTACCAAGTACGGCTACGTCCACCTGTACGACGTAGAGACAGCAACCTGTATCTACATGAACCGTATCAGCGGTGAGACCATCTTTGTGACCGCGGCGCATGAGACGACTGCTGGTATCATCGGTGTGAACAGGAAAGGACAGGTAAGCTACAAACAAACTCATTAATTCTTTTAGTAGGTACTTGTCTTTTCATCAATAGTTCCAAAAGAGCATTATGTTTAGAAACTAATGCGGTGGTATGCAAGGTTGATGAAAAGGACTTGGTTAGTATTCGATTTCTGCTTCCATTCAGTTTTGTGAAGCAGTGAAGAAGTATTTGTTGCCCTGATCACTCTATCTTGAATAGGTTTTTCTCCCCTCTTATTTGGCTTAATGTCTTTTTTTATAGGGAAATTAGAATAAATTAGAGAGTTTGATTATTCATTTAACCTATTGCTTGCAGTTATTCCATGAGAACATTTCTTTTCTTCATACATGTACTTGTTGTACCCATTATGTTTTTCGTAAAACATTCCTGTGGTAGCATGTCATATAGCATTGTTACTTTAATTCTCAACATTTAGAATGTGTCATTTTGCAGAAACCATACAAATGATACATTTAGGTTTGTTCTTTGCAATATATGTATCCAGCCATGTCTCATAATAATAATCATCAAAGCCATATTGGTTTGGTATATGGTGCATGTAAAGTGCAATCAGAAGTCTAAGCACAGCATTAATCTTAAGACTGCTTAATCACGAGGGTAAAACGGAGCACAGTACGTGGGCCAGTTAAGATGAGTAGGCTGTTGCGAAGCGATTGATTTCCTATTGCCCTTTCTTGACAAACACAATTAGCCTTGAGAATATAATGACGAGCAGTTAACATTAATGCTAAAAATCAGCATGCTCATGTGGGTATGATGTCATTGCAGAACAGTCTTAAAAACATGAGCAATGCAGCTATTTGTTATTGTTGACATTTTTAGATGCTCAAAGCCATATTCTGTTTATTTAATGTATTATTAGTCATTAGTCAATAGATGATGTGGATATTTGGTTTGGGTATTAAATAATCATGTCTGTTCTCACTAGAATACTGTATCTGCTAATGGCAATGTTTTAAACCTGTACTTCATTCATTAAAACTACATAGTAATACATGTAGGGTTGGACTAGGATTTAAGGATTTTACATGATTTCTAGTCATCATACACTTCCTATAAAGGAATGAATGGTAAAGGTTAACTTTGGCAATATCTTTAAACCAGAGATGACCTTATGCAGTGTACGGCAAGGTCACACATTGCTAAGGGCAATACCGTGCCCAAGTAGCAGGGGAACATGAAGTTACGCATGGAGTGCTCTTGTGAAAGCAGGGCGTGGGTGGAGTTTATGAAAGTCAAATACTCCACGCATGCATGAGGTACACAGGATATGATGCAGTAATTTGATTAGTATCTGCCTGCAACCGTACAGTACATACATGGGAGTACATGTAGGATGCTAAAAGGTGTAATTTCTGGGGTGACACATTATTTATGTTATGGACCATTAGGTACACATTCATATTAAACCCTCCCCCCCCCCCCCTATCTTTTGAAGAAACCTAAATTTGCTTGTATTCAAGGGACATGGAAGTCACATATTAAAAATATTTCAATGACAGAGTAAAAATGTTTTTTGGAAGGCACTAACATCAAATATTTTCCTTTCCATTGAAATTTAAGAGTTACATGTAGGAATTGTAGGAACATTTTATTAGATAAAAATTATGGAAACATGGAAACAATAAATAGTTGATTTCATGGTTTTAGAAAATTGTGTTGTGACAATTTATTATTTGAATGTATGGTGTAACAAATATTAGCTAGATACCTATATAGTGTACTTTAATTACAAATATTATGATGAACATATTTGTTTTTTCTTGTACCGTGTGGTTGCTTTGTAGTGTTATTTACCTTGTGGGAATGGCTGCATTCATCATTGTTTATTCTGTAGTATGACTCAATGAAGAAAAAAAAATATAAGTGCCTAACAGAGGCTGAAACGTACTCTGTATATATAGGGTTATTTCATGTAGAGTGAACGTATATGATTAATCATTTCAGAGCCCTTTGTGTTGATTTATATTTAAAGGGCTCTACTTTACACTTAAAATTGAATCACCTTAACTGTGATACTTTTTAACCCTCATTGCAGGTTCTGACAGTGAGTGTTGATGATGAGAACATCGTTCCCTACATCACCAACAATCTCCAGAACCCAGACCTGGCCCTGCGTATCGCTGTCCGTAACAACCTGTCTGGTGCCGAAGACCTCTTTGTACGCAAGTTCAACACCCTGTTCCAGCAGGGCAACTACTCTGAGGCTGCTAAAGTGGCTGCCAATGCACCAAAGGTAAGAGAGATATGGATTATACAGTCCAACCTGTCTATAGTGACTACCAAAGGGAAACACAAAAAAGTGGCCTTTGTAGACAGTTGGTCACTAAAGCAGGTTTGACTGTAGTTTACTGAGGGCACAACAAATCCTGGGATATGTTGCACAGTGGCCCTCACATGAAGAAAAAAAAAAAGATGGTCTTAGATTTGGGAATGTAGATTAAGCAAACACTGTTCTTTTGTTCATTTTCATGATAAACTGATCATTGAATTGTTGACTAATTAAACCATTGTAAGGTCTGCAAAGTTTAATTTTCCATATGATTGTACACCTCGGTATGTTTAGGATATTATTGACATATTATGCTATTTCACAACTGTATTGCTATAATATTTCAGGAACTAACTGGGTAATACAGTGATTTGATATGTGTGTGGATGGTAGATACCAATGATAACAAGAGATCGTTTGTATAGTTTCAATTTCGAAATTATAACAACAGCCACATGTGTGGTTTAGATAACTGAGTAATTAAAGGTACACTGTATGCTAAATAGGAAGCAATGTTGTCTTTCATATAGGTATTTATAGATTGTATGAGTCATGGTCAATAATGGTACTACAGTGTACTGCAAGTCAGTTCCAAAACAGGTGCAATTATCAGTGATATCTTAAGACTTACCAGTGGATACTGTCAAAACTTGCTTTTGTGACCACCTGTATAGAAAGATCACCTGCATATAGTCTATACCACTTTTGGAGTTTCCCTGAGGTATTGTTCCTGTACATGTTTGACTGTATTTCATTGAAGACACAAAATAGAAATGAAAAGCGGATGTGTTGTTTCACTTAGGAACACATGTAAGAGGGAACATCCTGATGCAGGAAACGATTTAAGAGTTTTTACTTGAGATTAAATGTGATTCCTATGCCCGTAGCGCATAGTTGTTGGTTTGACATAATTAATACATTATAAAAAAGTGGTTCAACTTTGTAAGCCTTGGGACAATGACTGGTTGCATTAGGACACTGTTAAGTCATAACCAAGATTTTTAGTTTTGTAAGCTTCTCGATCATGATCATGTCTAGGTGCGTTGGGACAGGCAATTTATAGTCAGAATGTAAAGAATATTGACATCTTGGAGACAGGGTAGCTGTGGTCTTTCTAATCATACCATAGGGAAGGCACTTACTCAGTCTCCATATAGAAATACCCAAGGTGTGACAGACAAGTGCTGGTCAATTTAATCTTTGGGCCAGTGCTTCGTAATCATTTCCTACAATTATTATTATGGTGTAATATTTCTTCTCTTTCATCCCATCATTTCAATGATTGTACTTTTTGTTAATTGTTAATTGAGTTTTTACCTGAGATTAAATGTGATTCCTATGCCCGTAGTGCATAGTTAAGTTTAATTTTATTTAATGATTACTACAGTAACAAAACAATGGTTATAGGATGAACTAGAAGAGTTTCCTGAGTAATTGTCAAATTGTATGTACGTGTAGGTTGTAGGTTAGAGCAGGTTAGCAAGTTAGGCATGTACACAATGCTGAAAGAATTCAGTGAAATCTTAACAAACAATCAAGATGAGATTAGATGCCTTGCGTTAAGGCATAAGCTCTGTTTATTATTCAAACCTGGCATATTTTACCTACACAAATAATGAATTACTGAGCGAATAAATGAATATCAAGAAATATATTAATCTCTCTTGCTTGAAAGCTTCATTGAATGTTATTTCCCTGTATTTTCTCAGAAGTAATAATGGAATTACTATTCTGATCTCTTTTCCATCTACAACCTCGCAAAGTGGTCCAGGCACCTGTTCTTGATTGTCCCTATATAAACCCAACCTCTTTGTCCTCTCTTTCTCACAGGGTATCCTGAGGACCCCTCAGACCATTCAGAGGTTCCAGCAGGTTCCCACCCAGCCAGGCCAGACCTCACCCCTCCTGCAATACTTTGGTATCCTGCTAGACCAGGGTCAGCTCAACAAGTATGAGTCTCTGGAGTTGTGTCGTCCAGTCCTGCAGCAGGGGCGCAAGCAGCTGCTCGAGAAGTGGCTCAAGGAAGACAAGGTTGGTTTCTTCTTCTTCTTCAGTTGCAGTACAGGCCACCGTCAGGTGTATTGTCGTACTGTTGAGGTGCAGTGCAGATGTGTGTACAATGCCTATTAAGAGGTACAGTTAACTGAGTACGAGTGAAAACAACTACCGTTTTAGCGGAGCTGGGTCTTTTGTATCTCTTGTTTCTTCAAGGAGAATCCAATCACACCAATGATACCAACACAAGACTAACAACAGACCAAACAAAACACTTACATTACCCTAAATTGCCAAGTGTTGATTTATATTGAGCCATTTCGGAGTTGGTTTGGCGATGTAACAGAAGATTAACTTGTTGGATTCATTTAGATTTTTTTTTAGTATATGCTTCACGATGCTCCTACAGTCTTTTAATTGGTTGACTTATACATTAATATCTCCTGAGATGAAAGATTTCTGTTTATTTCTTTGTTTTGTGGAAGTGATGGTCAGTTGTTGCCTTTAAGGGTTTTGCTGATATCAGTCCTTGTATAAATTTTTAATGCATCCTTTTTTTTTGCAGCTTGAATGCAGCGAGGAGCTTGGTGACCTGGTCAAGGCTCATGACCCAACGTTGGCCCTCTCTGTCTATCTCCGTGCCAGTGTACCAAACAAGGTATGAAGCAGTGACCCTCCTTGTCTCTTATTTTTAGCTGTAGTCAAACCTCTATTCACTGTCAAGACTATCTGTCCTAGGTCATTTCCCTTTAGCTCCTCTCTAAGGAAAACAAAAATCAGCTAATGATGCCTTTCTCCCCAGAATGAAAAGGATTTGGTAGAAGAAAAAGAAAAATCAGAATTGAAGAAAAAAATAAAGTGTATATGTGATATTAAACCCAATAATTATATAAATGACCAGGGTAAGAAGTATTGTTTAACTCATAAGAACTCTTTAGATTTTATTCATTAATGATTTGAAGAAGAAAACAAAATTGTCAGATATATTCTTGGATTTTTAGATAGAAAAAGTGAGATATTGATATTTAAATATTTGTTGTTTGTTCTAATCCAGAGCCCATATTGTAAAGTCATAACCAAGATTTACAGTTTTGTAAGCTCTTTGATCATGTCTAGGTGCATTAGAACAGGCAAGTTATAGTGAGAATGTTGACATCTTGGAGACAGGGTAGCTGTGGTCTCTCTAATCATGCCATAGGGAAGGCACTTACTCAGTCTCCATAGAGAAATACCCAAGGTGTGACAGACAAGTGCTGGTCAATTTAATCTTTGGGCCAGTGCTTCGTAATCATTTCCTACAACTATCAGCTCATTTGGAATTTTCCAGAGCTTTATCACTTTCCTGTGTTTTTCCTCACTGTAAATGACAACAATTGATTTTTTTTTCCCTTTCTTACACCAGGTGATCCAATGCTTTGCTGAGACTGGCCAGTTCCAGAAGATTGTTCTGTATGCCAAGAAGGTGAACTTCACCCCAGACTATGTGTTCCTTCTGCGTAACGTGATGCGTGTCAACCCAGACCAGGGAGCCGGTTTCGCCCAGATGCTGGTCCAAGACGAGGAACCGCTCGCTGATATCAACATGGTATGATCAATACTCTCTCATCTATTTTGTGTGTGTGTCTGTGTGTACCGTCAGTACTTGATGTAGATATGTCCTAAAAATGTCTTCATTCTAGTTGTATAGCCAGATGCCCAGTGTTCAGCCTTTTACCTGATTTCATGCTCTGTCACTTCTCTGTTTCAAGCTATTTAAGGCGTTAAATTTTGTACAGATCCATCAGGCTTATCTGATAGATCCAAATGGTATTCATGATGTGCGAAAGTTGATTGTCTGTCTTTACCTTTTCACAATCATGGTTCATCTCTCTCTCTCTCTCTCTGCTTATTTATTTTTCCTGTCTTTTCTGTATTTGAGAGAAGAATTCGTCAATTTATTGGTCCCTTTTCCTATATAGTTTTTAAACCTTGAATACTTTGAAAATTTAAATTTGCATGTGTTTATGTTCATGTAAAGATTTGTAAGAGATAAAATGTTATTATAAATTAAGACTTCCAGACTTAAAAGGTGCGCTTGTCCCAGATTTCAAGTTCCTTGCATTGTAGTATCATAGTATTAAAACCATCTATCTCCATCTCTCTTTTGCTTGTTGTAGATCGTGGATGTGTTCATGGAGCAGAACCTTGTCCAGCCCTGCACCTCGTTCCTCCTAGACGCCCTGAAGAACAACCGCCCCGCCGAGGGTCACCTGCAGACCCGTCTCCTGGAGATGAACCTCCTCTCTGCCCCTCAGGTCGCCGATGCTATACTGGGCAACCAGATGTTCACCCACTATGACCGCGCCCACATCGCCCAGCTCTGCGAGAAGGCTGGTCTTCTACAGAGGGTGAGTCACAGAAATATAAAAATGCATTGTATTATGAAATTGAAATATGTTGCTTAGAAATGGGATGTTATTTTTAATTTGATTGTAAATTGTCATGTAATTCAGCTGAGGCTGCAATATGCTTATAAAACAAACTGAACTGAACTGAAAACTGATCATCATTGTGGTTTCGAAAGCCAGGGGCTAAACTTCTTGATCAATCATTTCTTTTTAAACCAACATTTTCAAGACGTAGCCTATAATGGGATACAGACATGATGCATAGTAATCAGATAAAACAATGATAAGAAATGTTCAAATGTTGTTGATTGACAAGTGAATTGCAAATTTGTATTGTCAAGAGATTGAAACAAAAACTGAATTGACATGTGAAAAATGAGTGTTCTAGATTAATGCCACAATTGAGATCGATAATTAATCCTTGATGCAAGGACAAATAACTTTGAGCTACATTCTAATATTCAAAACTAATTATTCTTAATAAGCCTGTTGAATAATGAATAGATTTATGAAAGTGTCACGCTCAATTGTTGTGGAATCAGTGTAATTTACATTGTTGAATATCAATCTCTCTCTCTTTTCCTTCTACTTTGCAGGCCCTTGAGCATTACACAGACCTGTATGACATCAAGAGGGCTGTAGTACACACCCATCTACTTAACCCAGAGGTAGGTTATATATAGCACTTGAGTTATTATTTGATATTGGCTGTATTCATAGGTCTACAGATTTATGGATGCAAATTTGAAAATAAAGATTTTAGTAGCATGTCCATTATGTGGGTCCTAATTGAAAATTGAAATGATGAAAACTTTGATAAACAAATCCTGTGAATTATGGATTTATGATACCGATGGTGAGTTTGGAATACAGTAGCCTTTGAGGTGAATATGAATTGCGAATTGCCCACCAACCAACCCACGTAATCATTTGATCAGAGAACAGGACGATTTCTTTTATTACATGTATCTACGGAAGTTATCCGGAATTGATGTTAAACATGCTTTCTTGTTTCTTTTGCTCTCAGTGGCTAGTCAACTACTTTGGCTCACTGTCTGTTGAGGACTCCCTGGAATGCATCAAGGCCATGATGACTGCCAACATCCGCCAGAACCTCCAGATCTGTGTCCAGGTGGCCACCAAGTACCATGAACAGTTGACCACCACATCCCTGATCGATATCTTTGAGACCTTCAAGAGCTACGAGGGTCTCTTCTACTTCTTGGGCTCCATCGTCAACTTCAGCCAGGACTCCGATGTCCACTTCAAGTATATCCAGGTAAGCACTCACAGTTTGAGTTGTTATCGAGAATTTGTACGCCTTGGGACAATAACTGGGACACTGTTTAGTCATAACCAAGATTTTCATTTTCGTAAGCTTCTCGATAATGTCTTGGTGTTATAGGACAGGCAAGTTATAGTCAGAATGATAATAATGTTGACATCTTGGAGACAGGGTAGATGTGGTCTCTCTAATCATACCATAGGGAAGGCACTTACTCAGTCTCCATAGAGAAATACCCAAGGTGTGACAGACAAGTGCTGGTCAATTCAATCTTTGGGCCAGTGCTTCGTAATCATTTCCTACAATATTCCCTCCCTTCCCCCCACCTGAGAAGGTGATGTAATATTTGTCTCTTTCATCCCATTATTACAATGATTGCACTCTTTGTTAATTGTTCTTGATGATTTTCCAATTGTTCGTGGACAATAATTCACATTATTAGTGTTCTTATTTTCTTTTTTTGTGGGGGTATGACTTCTTCAGGCATAGTTACTCGATTATGTTAGTATAGGTACTTCCATATGATAGACTGGAACTGCTTTTAATGCACATTGTTCAAACAAGCTATTTGCAAGAGTAATAAATTTAAGGAATGCAAAAGTTGAAACCTTCAACACATATTGTCTAATTATCTTCAGTTGCCATGGTAATGATTTTTCCTCTTTCCCTTGACAACAGTCTGCCTGCAAGACCGGTCAGATCAAGGAGGTGGAGCGTATCTGCAGAGAGAGCAACTGCTACGATCCTGAACGTGTCAAGAACTTCCTGAAGGAGGCCAAGCTCACCGATCAGCTCCCTCTTATCATCGTCTGCGATCGCTTTGACTTTGTCCATGATCTAGTGCTCTACCTGTACCGCAACAACCTGCAGAAGTACATTGAGATCTACGTGCAGAAGGTGAGAATAGCTTTCTTTGTTTGTTTACTCTCTCAGTGGTAGATTTACTAGCTGTCTACAATAAAGCCAGGCTGTGAATTATCCAGAAGTTACAAATTATTTGCTGTGATGCATTCTCATTACCCATAATTTCCTTTTCCAACTGACAAAGAAAATTGGCTTTGTGTCCTGTTATTGGCCAAAGTAGCCTGCCTGTAAAACCGGCTACATTTGAGGCATGTAAGGCTCTTGTTGCAGATGACATTGCCTTGCTGTAGCATCCTTTTACGGGTAGCCTATGGAATATGTTATAACAGTAGATGATGTTTGTGTGCTCTTACATGCTCTTTTCAAAAATATTTCAAGCAATTTATGATTTGTTCTCATCCTTTTCTCAGGTGAACCCATCCCGTCTGCCTGTGGTCATCGGTGGCCTGCTCGATGTTGACTGCTCAGAGGACATCATCAAGAGCTTGATCATGGTGGTCAGGGGCCAGTTCTCTACCGATGAGCTGGTGGAGGAGGTGGAGAAGCGTAATCGCCTCAAGCTCCTCCTGCCCTGGCTGGAGACCCGCATCCATGAGGGAAGCACCGAGCCGGCAACCCACAACGCCCTGGCTAAGATCTACATCGATAGCAACAACAACCCGGAGCGGTTCCTCAGGTCAGTTGATCTTGTAGATTTTGGTGACGATTCCAGAGATGCCAACCCTCCCTGCAAATTTGATAATTTTTTTGATACGTCACTCCACACAAATTTTAATGCCCCTCTGATTTTTTAAAAGATTATTCCTATTATGCTGTATGCAATTGATAGACGCACCCTGATTTCTGAATGAATCCTCCCTGAAAGCTGAATGCTAAGGTTGGCATATCTGTGATTCCACCATTCGTGTGTTTTTCAATTTGAGAGTTGGCTACAGAATGCTGCTTCAGTTGTTCGCAGCTCACCATGAGAAAGTAGCAGATCCGTGATGATGATGGTAGACATGGATCGTGGTACTTGTGATAAGGATGAAATATTATGATTTGTTTAATGATGGTGTGATTGACACATGAAGGGTTTCTTTTACTGAGGATAAAACTAATGAGCAGTAAATAAATGGGTGCTCTGTAGTTCTATTATCTGGCCAAGGAAAAAGTAATTCAAGAATAATACCCTCACTGAAAGTACTTCACTGGCTTAGTTTAAACCCCAGACATCCCTGTTCCATTTACACAAATGAAAAGCCATGCAAACAAAGTGCAAATATCTTTTACATCTTTTACTGCATTTAAACCAGCATATAGCTTCATTTAACTTCATATGCCAGTTGAATTGTGAGGAGTTTGCCTTTACTACTACTAATTTCTCTCGTCCCATTCCACCTGCAGAGAAAACCAGTTCTACGATAGCCGTGTCGTCGGCAAGTACTGCGAGAAGCGCGACCCTCACCTGGCCTGTGTGGCTTACGAGCGAGGGCAGTGTGACCGAGAGCTCATCAACGTGTGTAACGAGAACTCCCTGTTCAAGAGCGAAGCCCGCTACTTGGTGAGACGACGGGATCAGGAGCTGTGGGCCGAGGTACTCCTGGAGGATAACCCATTCAGGAGACAACTCATTGACCAGGTAAGCTAGCTACCTACCACAAGAATGGAGGATAGATCCTAAGTAGAACTTAACACTAAGTTGAAATTATGGAGAGCTATTTGTAGCCTTAAAATGAAATATATTAAAAAGCGGAAATTTTAGAAAATATGAATGATTTGGAGCAACAACCTATGTCTTTTAAAATAACTTACAAAATACTTTAATAGACTAACGGCTTTCCATAATTGTTAAGTCCAACCTAGAGATAAGTTCAACTTAGGATCTTTGTGAAACACCCCCCAGATCCATCAACATGAAGTCATATCCTCATATGGGCCCTGATAATGCAGATAATACTGGTTATTAAATTGATGGTTTCTGCAGGAAGAGTTGAAATATTAACTTTATCTATTCAAATTCTTTGCTTTTCTCATTTTCAGCACATTAATGCTACTGGGCATCAGTGGTTGTCAAGCATTACCACCTCACCTCACCAAATATGATTAATAAATATGTTGTTACTGTTGCAGGCAACCTCAGCAATACCTTGAAAAGGGTACTGCAGTTGGTAAAAGCATGCAGTGCCATTGTGAGTAAGTGTAAAGAAGGTGTTATGTGTTAAAAGTATGTTTGAGGCATAATCTGCACTAAAAATTAGCCCTTCTCGAAACATCTTGGAAAGATGAAAATTGATATGAAAAGACTAAAATTTATGTAATTGATGTCCATGAATGTCAAGGGGTAACAACATATTATTTCCCTGTTATAGATTGTCCAAACTGCCCTGTCAGAGACCCAAGATCCAGAAGATATATCCGTGACTGTGAAAGCTTTCATGACTGCCGATCTGCCAAACGAACTGATTGAACTCCTAGAAAAGATTGTGCTGGAGAACTCTGTCTTCAGTGATCACAGGTAAACTCTTCTACATATAGTAGAGATGATGATAATGCTGGAAATGTTGATGGATTTCTAATATGTATTCAGAACTGTATATCCGATATTTCAAATTATCCCAATGAGAATTGTTGTGTTTGCTTTAGGATGTTATTGCATTACCTACCGTAGTCATTTAGCCCATACCAGAAATCTTAGCAACAACTTTGTGCATCAAAAGGTACCTATTAAAGCCTAGTATTTGCACTAGTTTGGCCAGGGGGGATAAAACCTCCCTGCTTGGTCACTGACGGGTGGTTATCTCATCAAAGCAGCTCTCAATTAACATAAGAAATAGGCATCATGGGGGACCAATGGGTATCGCTTAGGCATTGTTTGCTATAGGCGCAAGAAGCTACAAGTAGTGCAATGGGGCTTTAATGTTCTTTTATATGCAAGCCACAAATCTTTTCCACAAGACACCACTTCCACACATAATAGCAAAGTTTGTCTATTCTTCCTATTTTCCCTCCCAGGAACCTTCAGAACCTGTTGATCCTAACGGCTATCAAGGCAGACCGTACCCGTGTCATGGAGTACATCAACCGCCTGGACAACTATGATGCTCCAGACATCGCAAACATTGCTATCGATAGCGAACTCTTTGAGGAAGCATTCGCCATCTTTAGGAAATTTGATGTCAACACATCTGCTATTCAAGTAAGTGGATGGTCATTTGTTCTGTATTTAAAAGTGGAGATGTTATGCCTGGGGCACACTGCCAGACCAACTCAAAACTGACTAATAAATCTATTTAATCCAGTCCATCAGGGGAAATGTAATACTTTTATTTATTCTGTTGCCTGTCCGATGTTGATCTCATCGCTGCAACTGAAGCGTAACTGTACAGGTTGTCTTGTCTTGTTGAGTGGAATGTTATTTGGATACAGAATGAGGATAAACCAATGAAGGTTCAAGCACCAGTTGTAGCTCTAACATGATTGTCACTGAGATTGTGAAGGCCAAATTGCCATATGATTGCAGCTCATGCATGTATTTAAACAGTCCGTGTAGGGTATTATTACTCTTCATGAAATGGAAATTGTATACACACTGTGGACAGGCTTGATAGCACTTTACTAGTTTGATAATGGATATCAGAGTTTTTTTTTAAAATGTGTAAATATGCAAACATATGAATGAATGTAAGAGCATATGAAGCAAGGAAAAATAAAGCAGATTATAAATATAGATCATGCTATAGAATCCTTCAGTATAAGAACACCCTATGACCCCTGTGTAGTGGTCCACTTGCACACCTGCAATCAGTTATACCGGGAGGAGAGGCCCAAGGGTCACAGTGATTCAGTTTGCTTTTCGCCTCCCAGGCACAGTTGTCGCCAAATACTAGTACTTAATAATAATGATATTGACCAATTGAGACTAAATCTGTCTTTATCTTCCTGCAATATCCAGGTCCTGATCGAGCACATAAAGAATCTAGACCGGGCCTACGAGTTTGCGGAGAGGTGCAACGAGCCGGACGTGTGGAGTCAGTTGGCTGCTGCCCAGATCAAGGCTGGCATGGTCAAGGAGGCAATTGATTCCTACATCAAGGCTAACGACCCCTCCACCTACCTGGAGGTCGTAGAAGCTGCTTCAGAGTCAGGTAATATTCCATGGTCAATAGTATAGAGATATCGACTGCTATGAGAGGCATAGCTGTTTCTATAGGCTCAAGGGGTCATAGCAGGATGAAATGCCCCTGAGAGCCAGTATAGAAATAGCTATGCCTCATACTGTCAGAACTTTACGTATTGAGTCAGTTGGCCGATCTAGATCAAGGCTGGCAAGGTTAAGGTGGCAATTAATATAACCTACATCAAGGTCACCAAAAGTTGTGAAATGAAATGCTGTGATCATGAAGTATTTGAATATTTAATATAACAAAATTATATATTTCACTTCACTCTCACAGGGAACTGGGAGGACTTGGTACGCTACTTGCAGATGGCTCGCAAGAAGGCCCGCGATGCCTACGTTGAGACCGAGCTTATCTTTGCTTTCGCCAAGACAAACCGTCTCGCTGATCTTGAGGAGTTCATCTCAGGGCCTAACCATGCGCAGATCCAACAGGTAAGCAGATATGTCTTAGTGAATCCTTCTTCAGTAACGTAGACGTAATAGTTTGTAGTGATATGTAGCCAAACTTATAGAGATGATTGATAGATTGGGGAATACCTTTTGATGGTTCAAGAGATTGATTAGGATTATTTTGATATGTGTCCTTTCTTCACAAGTGCCTATTTAGCAAATGAGTTGTTAGACCAAATAATTATCAATAATTAATAATTTTGCAGAATGCATTTTTATGCCTCCGCCACCGAAGGTGGTGCCGGAGGCATCATGTTTTCGGGTTGTCCGTCCGTACGTCCGTCCGTCCGTACGTCCGTCCGTCCGTACGTCCGTCCGTCCGTACGTCCGTCCGTCCGTCCGTCCGTCCGTCCGTCCCGTTTGACCGTTATCACAATATCTCAAGAACCATTTAAGATTTAAACTTAAGACTCGGGAATAGTATTTATCACCATAGGAAGACGATCTGATTAGATTTTGGAGTACGTAGGTCAAAGGTCACAGGTCACAGAGGTCAACTTATGAAATTCCTTGTATTGAGTTTGTTAGCGCGATATCTCAAGAACCATTTGAGATTTAAACTTCAAACTTAAGGATAGTATGTATCACCATAGGAAGACGATCTGATTAGATTTTGGAGCACGTATGTCAAAGGTCAAGGGTCACAGAGGTCAACTTATGAAATTCCATACATTGAGATTGTTATCATGATATCTCAAGAACCACTGGAGATTTAAACTTCAAACTTAGTGATAGTGTGTATCACTATAGGAAAACAATCTGATTAGATTTTGGAGCACGTATGTCAAAGGTCAAGGGTCACAGAGGTCAACTTATGAAATTCCATACATTGAGATTGTTATCATGATATCTCAAGAACCACTGGAGATTTAAACTTCAAACTTAGTGATAGTGTGTATCACTATAGGAAAACGATCTGATTAGATTTTGGAGCACGTAGGTCAAAGGTCAAGGGTCACAGAGGTCAACTTATGAAATTCCATACATTGAGATTGTTATCATGATATCTCAAGAACCACTGGAGATTTAAACTCCAAACTTGTTTAAATTGCTCTATGGCGGAGGCATCATTTTCGACTGCGCGCAGTCAAAATTCCATCTAGTTTATTAATCTTGTTGTTCTTTCTAATACTTTTTTGGAATTGCATTTTGTGTGTAACAAAACTATAGAAATAGATTATAAATGGGCTGTGATTTTGTGTGATATCCTTGAGTTTACATTCTCATTTCTCTCCATATGAAATTTCTTATCACAATGAGATACATCACAATCTACCATTGCTGGGTTTACTGACCCTTAAACCAAGTCGAAACTTATTTAGCGTGCATTACCAGATGAGTTTCAACCCCAGAGAATTCTTCAGCATAGGATGCAACGTTTCAAGATGGTTGGACTCTTGAGATTAATCATGTTTGACACCATATCCATCATTCTCAATCCTCCTACCTTAGGTTGGTGACAGGTGTTATAATGAAGGCATGTATGAAGCAGCCAAGTTGCTCTTCAACAATGTCTCCAACTTTGCTCGCCTGGCATCCACGCTCGTTCATCTCGGTGAATACCAGGCTGCTGTCGACAGCGCTCGCAAGGCTAACAGCACCCGCACATGGAAAGAGGTAAGTCAATTTTCTATTATCAACAGCTGTATACCATTTAACAGCCTCATCCTATGAAGAGATGCGATTGATCTTGATAGATGGCAAAGAGTCCAATCGATAGCAAATTTCCAAACCCATTCTCTCCCTTTTTTTTTTTTTTTTTTTTTTTATAGTTGTGATTGATTTTCAAATCAATGGTAACTGTTTTATAAGATGAGGCCCCTGATTCCCATTTATTTCTCTCTATTCCAATAAAATGGGTTGTGAAGAATAACAGTTCAAGAGCATCCTTCAAAATAATACCTACAAGTAGGCTGGATCCCTTTACAAATATTTTTTACAGTTGCTTGGGTTAAAGTTTTTCAAGATTTTCTGGCATGTCAGCTCTCCGGAACATGCATGGTGCACATCAAAACCTCTAATGACTAAATGGTTTTGACATTCATGGATAGTTCCTTTTGTCAACTATAGTCAACCCTATCTGACCCGACCTCTTTAGATCAGATACCTTATCCACCATCCAAAGCTTTTCCATAGCTTTGACCTATCTATCAGTGATATCAAGGACACATTCTTCCCAATTATCACATTAACACGTTGTGCTACATAGAGATCAAATCACTCTTCCACTGACCATGTGGTGTGTGGAGTTTATCATTTGATACAAGGCAGGAATGCTTCATGACCCACAACTCCAATAGCAACATAGAGGTCTCAATACTTGGCTATAATTGAGGGTAGGCTAATCAATCTAATGAGATTAGCCCCGTATTCTCTCCCCACCTGCCCTACTCTTTTCAAGTAAACTTTTCTTGGGATAGTTTATTCCATCTGTTCTCTCAATCATTCTCCATTGTATTGATGGTTTTGGCAATACATGCATTTTGCTTGGGCTTGAGGCTGGCTTGAGTTACATAGTGTTTGCTTTAGCTTTTTATCTGATAGTTATGTTCCATTTCATTGGATGTTATTGTGCTGCAGGGAGGGTTATTTGTGATTGAACTTTTGAATTGCTGAATGTTTAATTTCAAATGAGAAGAAGCAGTGAACTTAAAGTAATGAATGGAAAGGAAAAATAAAATGGGGAAATTCTGTGGTTGACCGATTACAATGTATTTTTAGGCAGTTTGGGTTGGCTTTTCATCTTGAAGGATTCGAATTACTATCATCTTCTTGTGACTTTTCTCATTAACGATTACCAGTACTCTCTGCCTATAATTTGCTCATTACCAATCCCAACATGTATATTTCATGCTCTCATAATTGATTGTGAATCCTAATCTGTTCATTCATTCATTTCTGCTTCTTCCCTTCCTCAGGTATGCTTCTCTTGCGTTGACGGCGAGGAGTTCCGTCTGGCCCAGATGTGCGGTCTCCACATCGTGGTCCACGCCGACGAACTGGAAGAGCTCATCAACTACTACCAGGACCGGGGCTACTTTGAGGAACTGATCCAGCTCCTCGAGGCTGCGCTGGGCTTGGAGCGGGCACATATGGGCATGTTCACCGAGTTGGCTATCCTCTACTCTAAATATAAACCATCCAAGATGAGGGAACATCTGGAGCTCTTCTGGTCACGTGTCAACATTCCAAAGGTAAGAGGGTGTGGGCACTTGTTAACATATCAAAGTGAAGGGGCATATCAAAGAGAAGGGTGGCATGACACAACACAAATTGTTAATGAATGATAAATTACTGTAATTTAAAGGCCTAACCTAATACCAGTCCCTTATCATCATTCAAAAGATAAGGAAAAGGGGCATTTAGAAATCTTTTACAGTTATCTTTTTACAGTTTACATACATTGTATACCTTTGACTTTTTACCTCACTGCTAAGAAATCATGTCGATGTGTATGCTTGTAGATAAGCGGCCAGTGGAGCTATGATGAGAGTCCTATCCTTTATGATTAAAAGTTCCTAGCATATTGATTGGGTTTCAAGCTGTGAACCTCCAAGTTCTAAGATCACCTAAGTTTCACCATAGAGCCACCATGCTTCATGTCATTCTAGCATTTCCTGTAACTCTTGTCCCTCCCTCTGTCTTTCCTTCGCAGGTCCTTCGTGCAGCAGAGCAAGCTCACCTCTGGGCGGAGCTGGTGTTCCTCTACGACAAGTACGAGGAGTTTGACAACGCCATAGTCACCATGATGACACACCCCACTGATGCATGGAGAGAAACTCACTTCAAAGATGTCATCACTAAGGTAAGATCTCATCACTTGGGATTTTAAAGCCCCACTGCACTACTTTTAGCTACTTGGGCCCTCTATATAGCAAACAATTCCTAATCGGTGACCATTGGTCCCCCATGATCCTTTTTTTCTTGAGAAATTGAGAGCTGATTTGATGAGATAACCACCTGTCAGTGACCATGCAGGGGGGGTCTAATCCCTCCTGGTCAAACTAGTGCAGTGGGGCTTTAAAGTCATAACTAGAGAGTTAGGAAGGTAAAACTTTGTCCCTCTGTAACTTCCTTTCCCTAAAATAAAATCAGACAAATGTCTGTAGTCATAACCTCAAAATTGTCTTGTCTGACACTGAAATACACATATAGGTGCCCCATTTATTAATAATTTACATTTTACGATGGAAGAACCAGTAGAATATAGACATTATTTTGTTGGTAATTGGTCACTGTTAGAGGTTAAAACAAAAACTTTGTACTACATCAAATATGAGAAATTCTACAATTTGAGGAAGTATGTTAGCTCAACATTCATTTATCTTCAGTGAAAGTAAGAAGAGCATTAATGAAAATTCAAAATACATTTCTTTTAAAGTGTTTTTCATTGTAATGCATTTATTTAAGTATGACTTCTCCAATTTATGTTTGTAAATTTTGTTTTATTTTGGTTTTATTCTTATAAAGTGAAGTGAAGTTGGGTTAAATTGCAGTTAACTCCATGGGAATTGATGAGTTAAGCAGTGTTAGCCTCTCTGAACGCTACGCAGAAGTACAAAGAATGAACTCAAGCATTATATGCGATCGAATGGACCAACCAATAGTCCAATACTATCAATACCATGCTGATATGCGTTTTGGTTTGTCTTCTAGGTTGCCAACATTGAGCTGTACTACAAGGCTATCCAATTCTATCTGGACTACAAGCCCATGATGCTCAACGACCTCCTGGTAGTACTCATTCCTCGCATGGACCACACCCGAGCTGTAGGACTCTTTGAGAAGCTCAGCCAACTGCCACTGGTCAAACCTTACCTCAGACAAGTACAGAGTCACAACAATAAGGTGAGTCAAAGAAAGGGTACCATTCTTTTTGGTTTGATTAGCTCTCCTGTGGTCTTCTACTTGTTTTGATCAATGTAGAGCTCTCTAATCGTATGCTCTCAAAATTTATCATCGCTTTGCTTGTCTGACTGATTAGCTGAAGAAAGGGTAGACAGATAGGGAGAGGGAGGGGAGGGGGGTAAACAGATTGGGAGGAAGTCAAAAGTTGCTTTAGATGGTGACCATAAGCTGTATGTCATGTTTCACTTTTGATTTCCATGTTTATCTCAGCAGCAGTGAGTCAATTTGATTGGCTTTTTTTTCTGGGGGTGGGGGCTCTCTTTACAGGGGCTGCTGGCTTGACCTGTTAACTGTTGGTAACTGTTTAATTCATAATCTTGAGTTTTAAATGCTTGAGACTGAACTCTTGATACCTTCAAAAAAAAATTAATAAGAATACAGTTTTATAAGCTTGGCACTGATGAGAAATTTAATCTTTAATTCCTTTACGAAAAGGAAATCTACATTTTCATGATATGTTATCCTTTTCTCTATTCAGGCGATAAACGATGCCCTGAATGATCTCCTGATCGAGGAGGAAGACTACCAGGGCCTGAGGGCGTCCATCGATGCCTTTGACAACTTTGACAACATCGCCCTGGCCCAGAACCTAGAGAAACATGAACTGATTGAATTCCGTCGCATTGCTGCTTACCTCTACAAGCGCAACAACCGCTGGAAGCAAGCTGTGGAGCTCTGCAAGAAGGATAGGTTATTCAAGGTTAGTTAGTTTTGTTGTTTTGTATCTTAACTGTAGAATAAAATATTGATATTGTTTTGAAGTGTAGAATAACTTTTTATCTTGGATTTAGTTGTTGGAGTTCTGTCAGTTCTGAAATGTGCTTTATAAAAATGTATTATTATTATTACAAGTCTGGAGTTATTGGCAAACTAGATGCCATGATATGGAAGCAGTTTAGGGGTTGGCACAGAATGCTTTATCGAATGGGAAAACGAATTTTGCTATTTAACCAAATCAGTGTATCATCGTCACGGTAATTACTGTAATTGATGATATTATTTGACTGGTACTAATAGTGATGCCATATTTTATCTCAGAAATGTTGATTACTTAGAGAAAAGTTACAGATATCATTGTTGTTGAACAATGTATCAGTCCGATCATGCTTAAAGAATTGTAGGGGGGAAAAGACATTGAAATAATCTTAACGAGCAGTGCACCAGCTCTATAGATCCCTAGTCATCTGTGATTTTTCATTTTTACCATTAAGCAGTATTTTTTTATGAACCATTTGGTCTTCAATATCAGACAATTCTCTCGCATCTTTCTTACAGGATGCAATGCAATATGCCTGTGAGTCGAGGAATATCGACATCGCAGAGGAGCTTGTGAACTGGTTCCTTGAGCAGAACAACCATGAGTGCTTCAGTGCATCACTCTTCAACTGCTACGATCTCCTGCGTCCAGACGTGATCCTGGAGCTCTCCTGGAGGCACGACATCATGAACTTTGCCATGCCCTACATGGTCCAGGTCATGAGAGAATACTTGGGAAAGGTAGGTCAACTCTAGTCGTTTTAAAGGGATTGGGTAACTTTGTCTCAAATTCTGAAACAAAATCCTGGATTTAGCTCATGATGCAATCATAATTATAAACCTTTAAGGTCAGTCAGGAATCCCATGACTTTTAAAAGCCGATTGTCCGCCTGATTATCAAGATATTATGATTGGAAATCAATATTTCATTTTTCGTTTTCCTAACTGTTTTTAGAACACTACACAGGGTTCGTACGGGTCATGGAAAACCTGGAAAGTCATGGAATTTTACTTTATTGCTTTTAAGGCCTTGAAAGTCATGGAAAATTATTTTTTCCATTGGAAAGTCATGGAAAGTCATGGAATATCAAAATTATGGACAACTATAGTATTTTCTCACTATACAAGTGAATAAATGGAGATATTTCAACCATTTTCTTCTCGTATTTTCTTTCATTCGTAACATACCGACTGATTGTACTTGTGAATGTGTTCACTATGATCGATGGATAAGCGCTGTGTACGTGGGTGTGTACGTGTACGATACGAACTACGTGTGTATGGTCAGTGTATGGCGGTACGGTCCACATCGTGCGCACATGGCTAGCTTGCGAGCGAGCTCGCTAGCGCTAGCTCAGTTCAGCAAGCTAGCGCACGTGTACGTGTGCAGTGTGTGTGTGCATATGATGATGGTGCCAACGCGACATGTGACACTCCAAGAACGAATGTAATGCCTCGATTGCACTTTGGCTTTGCATTAAATTGCGACCACTTAGACTACTACAATTTTTACACTTCTCCAATAAATGAGGAAAAAGTAAATTAGTAATATTTGTTTTTTAATTTTCATTATTTAAATAAAAAAGGAACAATACTGACGTGTCAACAAGGCAAATTGGCAGCGCTAGCTCGTTGACGATCTATATATCGACGCGACGGCATGTGTTTTGAAACTTTTGTGCATGTGTTGATTCTTCATGAAACGGAGTTGTTTATTTTCACAGACCTTGGAACTCGTCACGTGGATATTTTCACCATTACAAATTTTGTGGAAGTGATATTCAAAATGCCTGGAAATTGTCATTTTAAGGATGCTTGGTTAGAACACCCGGATTACCGTGGCTGGATTTTGAAAGAAAGTTCCGATCTGGGGACTGCTAGATGTGCTGTTTGTATGTGTAAATTCAGTGTCCGTAATATGGGCGAAGCAGCCGTCAAGAGCCACAAGAAGAGTGAAAAACACACAGCAAACCTCCAACAGCAACAACGTCGTAAGTGAGCATTTTTAATGTGAATTTTACCGATCCTTTATTGAGCATGAATCCAAATAATGACTGATAATAATTATATAAAAATGAAAGATTTGAGATTATTTAGCGATGCGATGTCACCTCGCAGGCATTGGTTACTGCTTACTGCGACCAGCCCGTTCGGGAGCGTCCCCGGCCCCGGGCCGGGCCGGCTAGGTTACTGCATGCAACAGCCCGAACGCTAACCCAGGGGGCTCCGCACTCACACGCCAGTGTTGTACCGGGCACTGTATGTGGACTGCAGAAAAAAAAAATAATAATAATTTACCTTAAAATTGACCCCAAAAATCATAAAACTAAATTTTGTACTTACAATTGGGTCCAACAGTTTGCTTGCCTTGAGAAGTATTTCCTCCTTTCTATTTCTTTAAAATATGTTTTTAAGGAATGAGTCAAAAATTAGTCCACTTGTCTTAGTGACTTACATCAATTGGCCAAAAGTTGCCGTGAATTTTTTTTTTTTTTCCTTCCCCATACTGTCAAACGGTTGTCAAAATAGGAAAACGTTTATGCTTTTAATGGTCGTTTGAACGGCAGTTAAACGTTTTGACTCGGCCCTAAATCTTACCAAATGATGATATTTATATTTTATTTATTTTAATAGACATTTTTTTCTTTTCTCCTAGATTCTACTCTCTCACTCAAGAGCTTCTTCAAGGCAAAAGGTGCAGAAAGTTCATCAGTATCTATCACGTCTACAGATGCAACAACCAGTACTTGTGCGCCATCAACCTCTAAAGTGACAACTCCCATTCCTGTTGCTGCAAGAGAGGAAACTTTAAAAGCTGAAATACTCTGGTGTCTGAAAGTGGTGGAGGATCATTTATCATTTCATTCTTGCCAGCACAACAGTGAGCTCTTTCAAAGAATGTTTCCGGACTCAGCTATTGCTAAGGGTTTCACGTTGTCAGAAACAAAATGTCGGTATATGACGGTGTTTGGTTTGGGCCCATATGTGCAAGACCTCCTTTATGACAACATAAAACAATCAAACCACTATGTGATACTGTTTGATGAAAGCCTCAACAAGAAGCTCCAGAAAAAGCAGATGGACTTCCTCATAAGAACATGGCAACACAATGAAGTTTGCACTCGCTACTTGACGTCTGTGTTCATCGGACATGGTTCAGCTGTTCACCTCAAGGAAGAACTGAATAAAGTTCTGCACACAGTTGGCTTGGAAAAATTACTGCAAATATCAATGGATGGTCCCAACGTTAATTGGAAGATGTATGATGACTTTACGCGAGAGTACACTGCTGACCTGACCAAATCCATACTGAATATAGGCTCATGCGGGCTCCATATAGTTAATGGTGCTTTTCTGACAGGTGCCAAGGCTGCTGACTGGGAGGTGGAAAGCTTTCTATCATCCTTGTATTACCTGTTTTCTGATTCCCCTGCCAGAAGAGAGGATTATCAGAAGATAACTGGAGATCATACCATGCCACTTAAGTTTTGCAAGACCCGATGGCTGGAAAACCTTCCTGTTGCAGAGAGAGCAATCAGCATCTGGGAGAGTGTATGTGCGTATGTTAAAGCAGTAGAAGAGAAGAAAATCCCTCACCCAAAGAACAAGTCCTTTGAAACTGTTTCAAAATGTACTCATATAACTGATTTCTTAGCAAGACTGTACTTCTTCATATCTGTTGCAAAGCTGGTCAATCCTTTCCTAACAGACTATCAGACTGATGCACCAATGCTGCCCTTTTTAGCTGAAGACCTTACTAGAATGCTTGCATCCCTTATGCAGCGATTTTTAAAGCTGGACAGGAGTACCATTACTTCTCCTTACAAGATAATGCAGGTAGATGTTAGCAGTGAGGCCATTCAGCTGCCCTTGGCCAAGTTGGACATTGGATTCTACACTGAGAAGAAGCTGAAAGATCTGAAGGCGAAAAATATCATCAGTGAGCTGAAAGTTCTGGAATTTCGCACTCAAGCAAAGAAGTTTCTTGCTGCAATGACCCGGAAGCTCATTGAGCGATGTCCGCTTAAGTATGCACTTGTGAGAAATATAGGATGCTTGAGTCCAAAGAACATGGCAAAAGACAAAGAAAACTCCACTGCAAAGCTGAAGAGGGTGCTTAACACCCTTAGTGATGCCCACAGACTTAAGGATTCATGTGACGATATCCTAAGAGAATACTCAGAAGCATGTGATGAGGCATCAAGAAGTGCAGAGATGAGAGACTTTGATCCAAAGAAAGAGAGATTGGACTCTGTAATGTGCAAATTTCTGTCCGAGTCTCGCTATTCGACCCTCTTAAAGTTGGTCCGCATGTTGCTTGTCTTGTCCCATGGACAAGCCTCCATTGAGAGAGGTTTCTCAATCAACAACGAAGTTGAAGAGGACAATCTCCTGGGACACTCACTGATATCATTGAGGGCCATTTATGACCATATCAAGTATGTTGGAGGAATCAAGAATGTGACTATTGACAAATCAATCATGTTGGCTGCGTCTGCAGGCAGGCAGAAATACCACATCTATCTCGATGAACAGAGGCGTAAAAAGGAAAAGGAAAAGAAAGAAGGAAAGAGAAAAGGACTGATGGATGGTTTGGAAGAACTAAAGGCCAAACAAATGAGACTGCAAGCAGATGTGAAAAGTCTTCACACCTCAGCAGACAAGTATGCTGAGGAAGCAGAGTCACAAGGAAGATTGACTTGTATTTCCAAATCAAACAGCCTCCGACGTACAGCAAAGGAGAAGGCATCCCAGTTACAAGTAATTCAGAAACAGATTGATGAACAGCTGAATGCCATTAAGAATTATTAAAGAACTTGGACAGTTTGTTACCAATGCCACCAAATATTCAGACAGGTGCAATGTGTAGAGGGATTTCTTTCAAACAGCTACATGAAGATGTCTCAAGAAAAAACTCATTCAGAAATTATTGACCAGCTTAATGCTAGCGAAACAAGAATTCATCAGCTGATGTGAGTAGGCCTACTGTGTTTTGTTGGTGAAATCAAAATTGGTGATGGTATGTGTGTGAGTTTGTGTGTTGGTGTTGTTTTGTTTTCTTTTTTTTTGGGGGGGGGGGGGTAGTTACCTTGTACATGCAAAGGAGAGCTATTGAAGGAATCATGGTGGTCCATGAAACCAGGAACAGGCAATTTGTATTCTTTAGAAGTGAAAATTGCCATTAAAAAATGGACAATTGTTGATATGAATACATGTATGTGTAATTGTAAGAATATTATATAGCAGTGCATATCGAATATGATGAAAAAATAACATGTAATTGTAACAGATGAATAACTAGATAACAAAAGCTGCCTTTCTATTAGTAGACTTGAAACATGCACTTTGCTTCGCTTTGATTTGAGATCAAATTTTCAGTCTACCGTGTAAAAAAAATGTGTAAAAGTCATGGAAAGGTCATGGAATTCTGGCTAGAAAAGTCATGGAAAGTCATGGAATTAAATTTATGAGAAAGAGTATGAACCCTGACTACAGTCTATTGGGGAAAATGAGTATGGTAAAACCGGTCACTCAAAGATTTTTACTTTTTGAGGCACTTTATGATAAGTGTGAAGCGCAGTTTTTGTAGGGCTTCAATATAACACCATATCATAGAAACTGATAACACGTAGGGCCATGCATCTCAGATTTGTAAAACTGGAAACATTGTTAAACAATGCCTTTAAGGGAGGGAAGAGACTTCTTGATTGCGGTGCGATCCTTGAGCTATCATACAGGCAAAACATGAAAGTTAATTCATGACCATTGATAAAAACTTGTGGCATGCAATGGGTTAAATTAGTGAATGATTCATATGAATTATACGTCTTCATGGCATATCTATCTGTTCATTTACTACTTACGATATGTGAATTTCAGGAAGATATTTTGATAGTCGAATTAATGCTCCCACTGCATCAGGTTTTCAATTCAATTCAATAATCATCATTTCAAAATGATTGTACACATGTTCCCTCAAATTTTAGTTTTATATATCATTGTTAAATGTATTGCAGTCTGCCCACATGTGAATCTTGAAAGATATATATAGCGATGTGTACCAAGTGGTTCGGGCATTAATAATCCAATCATTGTTTGTCTCATTGTAGGTTGATAGACTGACTGAGTCAGAGAAGGAGAGGAAAGAAGAGGAGCAGTCAAACGAAAACCAACCCCTCGTATACAGTGAGTATTATTGCACTGGTGTGAATGGGTGGGGGGGGGGGGGGGGGTATGTTAAGTGCCCGTTGGTTCATCAGATGACAGCATTATCAATCTCTGCTTAGCTCTTCATAGTGGCGACATTATGGCCCTACCCTTGTTAAGCTTTCACAAATGATTAGTTTTCAGTGGTACTTTTGTATTGTAATGTTTTAAGATGGGAGAACTTTTCATTATGTTTTCTTAAATGTGGAAGTGAAGTATTTTAGAGAAATATTCCCCAAGTTGCACACATCTTTGCTCTATCAGGGAGTTCTTAGATGAATGAGTAAGATAAGATGCCAATTGCTTCCTTGGCATCCATATTAGCAAGAGAGGGATTAAACGCTTAGAAATCAAATCTTCAACTGCCAAGTAAAAATAACAACACCTCTATTTTGATATTCTAACAATAAAAATGTCTCATCATTGTGATTGACACTCATTTCCACTATCATTGGATTTTTTATTTTTATTAAACAGTAATAAGGGACTGTATGTATATGAATATGACTAGAAATGTGGAATGAATTACAATAGTTACATTGAAATAAACAGCTTACATCCATGAACTCCATTTAATTATTCTTTCCCTCTATCTTTACTCAGATGAGCCTACGCTCATGATCACCGCCGGTCCCGGTATTGCACCAGGCATGCCAGCAGGGATGCCAGCAGGGATGCCTCCTCAACCAGGTATGATACCAGCAGGTATGATGCCTGGTATGGCACCGGGTATGGCTATGGCCGGTGCACAAGCCGGCTACTACGGTATGTAACACATGTAATCAACCTGCACCGGCGGTACCATATAACCCAACCACCGGTACACTAACCAACGCCTCCGGTACCAAATATATAGACATGGGTGGTACCTGAAATTCTTTTATTGCAGTACCGAACGCTTCGCTCAGCCAGCAAGTGCATCTTTCTACGAGATGAAGTGAGATGGGATAGGCCGTTCTGGATGACGATTGTTTTATGGAAAATGATATATGATGAACTGGATTTGCAGATTTTATATGTATGCTGTATACAGAGATGTACAAATCAATGTAGAAACATATGCTAAGATCCGACTTAGCATCTCAAACTGGCTAATACTCACAGGCGGAAACTACTGGTCACATAAAAAAATGGATACCTAAATTTGTGATATATATATAGTTATAACCATGATTATGTGCAAGTCATTTAATAGAATTGAACGTTAATAAAAAAAAAAGGGGAAAAGGAGCTAATGTATGAATTTATAAAAAGAATAAGTAGAAGAACGAAAATTGGAAAAGGTAGAAGTGAGACAAAGGGAGCAGATTTAGTGCTTTCCTTCTCATCTTTGGTCCAAAAATACCATAGTTTATCAGAGTAGACTTAGATTTGTCAAGATTTAGTTTTTATCTATGTTCATGCATATCATTTCAGTTTGTTTCCTATTACCTTTTTGTAATATCTAATAGTGGATTCAGAAACCAAACCATTTTGCTTTCCAATCAATGTGATATTTAGTAAACTTAGTTATATATTGTATTTTTATGTAATTGATATTATATTATGTGGTCCATGAGATGAGTTGGATGATTATGAGATGTTTGGCAGGCCAGAGAGAAAGAGAGAAATAGATTGTATTGGAAGTATTTTGCGATATTCTTGAATTCAACGCCGAGCCAGATGTGAAAACTGTTTTCTTTGTCAGCATGTATTATAAGAGAAGACTCAATGTGTTTGTTTTTTGCGAAGATAAATCAGAATCGGGAGCAATTTCTAATGCTTAAAGCTGAAGGAGTGCCGTTCGTATATGACTGCTCCCAGAAATTCCAGGGAATCAAGTATAGGTAGATATTGTGTTTCATTTTAGGGGATTCCCCCCGGTGTGTTTACAGGGGAATACCCTTTGAGAAGAGAGAATGAAGAGATATGGAAGGGTTTAGAATGTACTGTTCTTTGTGTTTCTAATTGTCAGTTCATTGTCATGCTTTGTAAATGTCTGCATATGCTAGCCCAGCTTTTATGAGAAAAGATCTTGTAACTCGTCCAGAGGAATACTAATTCAAGAATATATTATGTTTTCATTGAAGCCCAGCTTTTAAATTCCACTATAGTTTTATCATAAATTCAAAATTTATTGCTTTAATCAGATTTTGAAAGCTTTCATGAGAATGAGAGAAATAATTGTATTTACAATCTGGAATTTAATTCGCATTAACTTTAGACTAATGAGATCTCTGATTATGTTAAACAGAAAAGGAGCACAAATTGAGTGATGTAATATAATATGATTATTTAAGGGAGTCAAAAATTCCCAGTAATTTCAGGGAGAAATGACAAAGGCGTGAAGGAGTTTGTTAAATTTTGTGTTTCATTTTAAACAGAAATGTACAACTACTAGGATAGACTGAATGTAAGATCACCCCCAGTGGAAGATGAGATAATGAACACATCACCATGTTATTACTATGTATCATCTAGTCATTTATTGTCAATATTAACAAATAGCATTTATTACAATACCGAGCATAGGTACAATACACTTTTTATTATATTTTGTTTTGTGAAGCTATGATATATTATTTTGTGGACCCTCGTGGAAAACATAGTCTAATCAACTGAATTCATTCCTCATTGTGGAAAACGTAGAGGTAAAAGAGTGTGAAATAGTTTTGAATGGTATATATTTGATAGACGGTGAAAGGAATCGACATGGACCAATGGTAATGAAATGGAATCGCCCTTCAATGTGCTAACAACTAAATAAAAATATTATATCCGACGTTTTCTTGCTGCATTCTGGCTGCAGTATTAGGTTTGGTAGTTCATGACTTTCAATTGAAACTGAGAGTTCTCTTCTATTTTGTTCGAGATGATACATGAGCTCCAAGATAAGACACATGCTGTCTTTATTTTTTTGTTTTAATAAAGGAATAGTTTTCTATATTTTGTTTAGTAGAAGCATGTGATCATACATACCAAATGAAGCAAAACCCTCACGTAACATTGAAAATTAAAAACTGAAAAACATTTTGTTAATTATGGAGACCGTGAATTGAAATCGCCAGAAAAGAGTACGGTAGATAGGTAACTATTTGAAAAAACATTTGAAAATCTGATTTATCAGTTATTTAATGACAAAAGAACTGCCCCTTAAATTTTATATGGTAGCAAAGCATTTATATATCAGGAAATTGCTTGTGGAAATGAATGTTGGTATAAATGGTTATCCCAAAAGAGAGTTTCTCTCTTTTGATTTCATTCATTTTACATGTGCGAACCTATTTGTTACTTGCTGGCCCCATCCATATTAAGAATGTTGTTTTCCTGTCTCTCTTTGATTATATGAGGGAACGATACCGTACAAATAAATGTGATAAACCCAGTAATTATAACACATTTCTCTCATTCGCTGATTTGATTTTTACATGTGTGTTGTAAAGATTGTGATTGATTCAGGGTGTTTTGAGGAAAATACGAAATTATCTTTTAAAAATAAAAAAGGGGAGCAGATATTAGGTGAGGGGAAAGAGAGAGAGAGAGAGATTGGAATGGAGGGAGAGAGAGAGAAAGAGGGAAGGAGGAAGGGAGATATATATATATATTGCAAGGGAGAGATGGAGGGAGAGGGAAAATTGGGAAATAATAATTAAAATTGAGAAAGAGAGAGGGGAGGAGGAAGGGATAGAGAGGGAGGAGGAGAGAGAGAGAAAGAAAGAAAGAATGAGAAGAAGAATATGAAGATAGACGTACGTCTCCACGATCTTTTTATAGGAGGGAGGGAGTGTAAGAATCATGGAGAGCCAATATACACATGTATATTTATGTACTTGAATGGTCTTGTAATTTAATTCTTAGATATTAATTAATATCTTTTCTTTTTTCTTCACGCGCTCCCACGGCAGGGTGGAGCTTTCATTTACTATATTCTTCAGATCCAAGCTACACCCGAGTTCCAACGTACAAATTTGATTTCTAAAAATATCCTTCAACCCTATCTTGACCTATTATTAGCTATATTTATAGCAGACAATGACGAACGAGCATTAATGTGAAAATCAGTTTACGAGTCCGAGGAATGCCAGGCAGGCGCGGATGTGTCAACGCTGGACTATTTTTGGTCCAATGGGGTTGGAATCCCGCGTAAAACACACGTCCACATTCTTATCGAGATCGCACTGGGATCCGTTCATCCCGCGACAGCTTGTTCTGTGTGTGGGATACGACGCGACGACGGGAAAATTTTAAGCCCCCGTATCGTTTGACAGGTGAGGGGCTTTGATCGTCTGCTCGCGTTTATGATTTTAACGAGACTTAAGAAATATAAATAAAATATTATATAGTTTAAAAATAGTTGAGATGATTAAAGATTTCTAATGCAGACATCACTTCTGTTTGGTCATTTTTTCTCAATTCTCATAAATCATTTGCTAAGCAGGCTCAGGCTTTCATTTGGATGAGGTCATTTTTAATTACTGACTTTGCACAGCTTTTAGATTTGTACAAATTAAAACTTATCATCCACTGAAAGACATTGCTGCATATTGCCTTCGAGAAATCAAAAATATATACTAGCCATAACATTCAATTTTGTGAGTCTATTAGCATAGCCCTGAAAATTAAGCAAGTGGGACTAAAACATGATTAATGCCTACATTAAAAAATATATATACATGTCCTTTGACAATGTTTAAGTTTTTTTATGGATTCATAAAATTTAATTTCTACTAGCATCTATGCAAACTTCATAACAGTCAACGTGGATCATGATGTTTTTCGGTAACTTTAAAAAAAAATCAGACGCAAATTGTTTAATGTTCTAACGAAAAGTGAATGACGTGCACATTGATAAAGTTTTATGGCAAACAACCAAGACAATTATGCTTCAATAAAAACACAAAATGCACTTTCTCTTTGTATACCACACACTCTTTATTGCCGATACACTGCCAGACTTTACAACCCATCATAAATCTAAGGAAAAATCTTCTAACTAAATCTTATTTCTTTTTAAGGAGTTACTATTAAACAGCATTTTTATTCTAACCCAATTTCTTGATTGTCATTTAAATTATGATATCAAGATTATCAATAGAAAAAAAATATCAAAGATTACTTTTGTGTGATTTGTTTTGACGTATATCGTTAAGATTAGACGGTTACAAAAACAAGGATAGAAGGTATATAATACAGGGATGATTAAGAAGGAAAAAGAAGAAGAAACGAAAAAGAAGGAGGAAAAGAAAAAGAAGAAAGAAAGAAGAAAATATGAACAATAATTATAATGAGAAGAAGCTGAAGAAGAAGGAGAAGCAAAAGGAGAGGGAGATGGGGAGGAGGCGAAGAAGAAGAAGACGAGGACATTTTTTCTTTAAACAAGAAAGAAGGAGATTATTACAAATATTCCGTGTTTTACATTATTTGGTTCATTAATTTGCATAGTTACCAAAATTAATACAAAAATGAGCAATCGTGAAGAAATGGGAGATGCGTTATCTGAATTATACGAAACTAAAGTGTTTACAAGTCTAGAAATCAAGAAATCAAGAGACAATTGCTAGCGAAATCAAGGCGATAACATGGCAGGTTAGCAAATAAGGAAATAAATAATGTGGATATCAATATCAAGAGTTCGCATCTATTTAACTGAGAATCAATAAAACAAAGCAGTTTTACACAAATACCTAACAATCCTTGGATTAATATACAACATAATCTATAAAATAGCTTTGAAAAATAAAACTAGGATAAATTTAGGACGTGCAGCAGAATAATTCGGTTTACACAAAATAGCAGGTCTTTCGCTATACACTGTCAATAACACAAGCAAGAAGGCTACAGCAAGTAAAGAAAATGTGGAAATTCAAAAAGAATAATATATCTCAATATAAATACAAGTCTAAAAAGCATTAAAAACCATGCACGAAAATAGTATGTACACAATGACAGAAGATAGCACCTTTACATAAAATGCAACATTATGTATTCCTTAAACATAGTACAGTATTTAGACTCTTCACGTAGTTATATGATACTTGTCATGCGGCTATCAGTACACAAAACACGTTATTATATCTAAGTTTAACCCTACAGTCAAATAGGACACATTATTATGTAGATTTATACGCCTTCATATTACAAATCTTCATGACTAAGAATATACCATTTTGATAGTTGTGTGTAACTGTGTATAAAAAACACCAAACAGACTATTATTTACACGACTGAATACAAAATATGACTGAGGTGTTACCCATTTGGTCCAAGATGCTGAAAAATAATGTAAACAATACTTTCTGGTGTTTTGTTGTACGTTAAAAAAAGATTGCTGAGTAGAACTAGTTATTACTTTGCTCGTTTGCATATTGAGACATTTTTATTGAAACAAATTGATATTAATTGATGATTCTTTTACATAAATTAATTTAACTCTGTATCATTCGCATTTCCTCGAAACAAATACTAGCATGTCTTTAAAGCTATAAAATAAATTTAGGACACGTTATATTCATTAAAGCATATCTACTCTAATATATAATCGTTGATTATTAAGAAACATCAGGAAATAAAAGATAAAATGTCATAACAATCCATCATGTTACTTTATAAACATTTAGAAACAACTATACTCCAAGGCCCCCAAATGTTTTTGAAATTATGTTTTTATCATACATGTTTATCGTGACATCGTATTATAATTCAATAAACCATTCATGTAAATGCGTTTCCTTATTCTATCATTATTGCTGTGAATATACAATATATATTTTTAATCGAAGAGATACTTTTTGCTGATGTTTAAAGAATACCAGTTTTATGTATCATCCATTTCATGAAAATTTATAAAACAAGACACGGAGAAGGAGAATACTTCAAAATATATAAGAATACAATTCAAGGATGTTAGGAAATCAAACAAATTTACATTGAACTCTATAATGATATTCGATACTTTATGTAATAACATGCTATACATATGACATTCACATTGTCTTATTATTATCCAAATAGCGTACAGTACCCGAGCGACAAATTCTTAAAAGTAAAAAATACAGCCTAAATAATCAGAATAATAATGTCAGGAGAAGAAGATGTATTATCTACTAGATGAATATATAATCCTCTCCAGTATCACATTTGCAGTCGTCTTCCATAGATTGCTGGATCCATCGACCTCGGCAACCCTTGACGTCGACGGCCACGAATCGGGTTTTTTCTTTAATGACGCCCTCCCCATGGCACCGCCCATCCGTCCCGTAAGCGGGGCGGTTACACTCCACGCACGCTATCTTGGCTGTGTGGGAAACGAAAAAAATATGGTAAAAGATGGAAAGGAAAGAGATAGACTTTTGTTTGTAATTCGTATACACAACAATCAGGACCTAGGACGAAGTACAAGTAGAAAGGAAGGGGCTAAATACCGAAAAATCTCTCACGGTACCGTTTAATTTACGAATATCGTGGATTAAAGGGGTACGGACCGGTGTCATCCCCTTTAAATCTATCAGTGAGGACAGTGACCCGTCTATGAAGAAGTGGATAATTAATTAGATGAGGGACAACCATCTGAGGGCGTTTCTTCACCATATCGCAATCTTTCTACCGTGTCCAGGGAGCGGTAAATTGGATAATATGGGGGCGGGGTGTTATCCAGTCAGGTCGACTTTACACTGTCAATCATCAGACAAGTGAAGTCGTCCGAGAAGGGGAGAGGGAGGGCGGGTCAATCAGGGGTTATTTAATTGTCTGGAGTTGTATGGATGTTTTTATATGAATATCACAAATACGAAGGTGTACGTTTGACAAATCTTGGGGGGGGGGGGGGGTAACCTCTTCCCCAAACCGCCGCCCTGCTCATCGGGAACTTTAGTTGTCTGATCTTCAATGGGCGGCTTCATGTACATAAATTATGACTACTATACAGGTTTTAATTAAATCATGTGCTTTTTCTTTCTTTGATATTTCCCTACGGTAATTAGTATTTTTCCACAGAGCATTTAGCTGTTGCCAAGGTTGAGCTATAAATCTCAGTCAAATTGAGAAACATAAGTTGAATCATACAAAATAATAGACGTTTATACTTTTGATAGCTCCCAAATCGCCCTCATTCCCAATGTACTCGTTAAACTTAACTAGCCGTGTCAATAATTCTGCCCTGATGAACGAGGCGAAAACGATTTATGATTGTTGAGCATACATGGGAAATATTTACCGAAACACAATCTACATTTACATTAGGCTGCACTCAATTGAGCAAGAATACAGCCTACATGTCTTGTGACGTTATCCATTTTGAAAATGATCGATACGGCAATTTCACGATACATTTGCTCCCTGATTAATTATTATTCATGAAGGCCATAATCATATTTGCATGTTACACCCTGTCTTGAACATGCTAGCTAAAAGTTTAATATAATTTTCTATAGGACAATAGCGCTTAAATCGGTACTATACCATAGAATAGAAAAATTTAATTATATTAATATGTATAACTGCTCCAATAGGTGAACAAACTCATTTGAAGAAAAATCGAATTTTTCATTTGGCGTTCAATCTCATCAGACTTCAAGTATCTTTAGAATATTTTAGGATGGTGTGGCCAGGGGCTCCTAAACATATTATGCAGTTAAATTCAATGGGCCTGCAATATACATAGAGCGTTCTCTACAGTTATTTAACAAAAACACGGTAATATCGGTGTTATATTTCTGGCACCAGATTTTGCCAAGTTTATGCGTCAAACAAAAACTCCGATAAATCATTCTTTGCGACAACCATTGTCTGAAAAGAAAGCTGCTGGGAGCGAATCCCTCTTTGTAGCTCCCAAATTACATTTCATTTACATGAAGATTACAAAAGAAACGAGTGTTTAGTTCCACAAAGTAATTTCAGCACTTCAATCATTACCAGCCCTTTGTACAATAGAAGGATTTCATCTTTGACTTCAAGTGAACAAGAGATTCTTTCTTCGGACTTCCATTACGCGGGTGATTCAAGTTAAATGGATTATCTCATATTTATGATTAACGAGCGCCCCCTATTTGATTATCGAGTCGTAAAATTGATAAAATAACTTGAAATTGGGGTCGGGTAAAAAAGAGGACTCTCAAGGCACATTTGGAAGATAACAAGATGAGTTTATTTAGTTCTACTTGAAATATCTTCAAGCACTCCACTTTTAAAAATCAGATTTATGATGTTAACCATGTTGCGAGTTCAGTTCAGCTTATGATATATGATCTCGTCACAAAACGGCCACGACATTTTAAAGTACCTTCGAAGTAAAGATGATATTATAAGCCTAGCACTTCATTAAGTCAGCGGGGAAAAGGGGAAATCCGAAATATAATAGCAAATCTCTGAAATATTTCCAATGACTTTGATTTCCAATGTAATCAGTAATTCATTTAACGAATATCTCCAAAGTAGACCAAGTATTTTCAGTTGCATAATGTGGATATTAGTGATATATTGTTCTAGAATAATATGTTTCTGTATGAAGATAAAACTATTTCTGTCATAGAGGAATGAAAAAAAAATGCTTCTAGAGAAGATTAGAAATCAATTAAAAATGATGATCATTAATCATTGATTTTGAGGAAACAAAAAAGAAAATGAGGAATCATACATGGAGCGAGAGAGAGAGAGAGAGAGAGAAAGAGAGAGGGGGTGGTGGTGGGGGGGGGGGGGCAGCGTCATTGTTCCCACACTCATGACTGAATCATTATGCTTTGTTACGAAACAATGCTACAATATAACTCTCATTAAACACACTTCCTCTCAAACGTCACAGCCCGTTACACCAACAAAGTGACGAAAATTCAGCTCATTACGGCTCATAACTTTTCTAATGACACCACATTCAAAACACATTTTGAGGGGCTATATAGGTGAGAGTCACTATTCTAATCATTTGTAAACCACAGTAATTGGCAAGGTCAAAATGATAACAAAATCTAGATTTGTTTGCAATTTGTATTCTCCATGTGGATACGCCTGTAATTGAAGAATACCCTATATAGCCCTCAGAAACAATCGACAGTGTTTTAAAGAAACAATCACGGTTAGAGCCTATTTGGCAAGTTCACTCCCCCCCCCCCCTGGAAGGAAGAATACATATTCAAGAAATAGATGTATATTGATAGACCTGACGTACAATCCTTCAAATTATTAATTTTTTTCACACAAACTTGTTAAAAGTAGATTAATAGAGAGGGCAGCTAGCCAGCAAAATTGTTCTTCTAAAGCGTGGCAAGGAAACAGATGGTTTTAATTCAGGCCATAGCCTCATATTATGATACTATTTTTTACGTTATTTGCTATTCGCTGGACTTCAAGCAAATGGATGATTTTATAAGTTGTCAATAATTATAAACAAGATAAAGCCACATTTCCTTGATCTTTTGACACCTTACTACGTAAGTAACTTGGCAACCTGTACTCCGCACCACCTTAATAAAAGTTATGTAATTGCTGAGTAATACAGAGACTCATACTATAATTAAGTGCATTCAACTCCGAAACAAAAAAGGATTAATGCTTAAAGGAGGGAGAGATATATACAAGAAGCCCATTAAAGAGACTAAATGATGCTGCAATACTCTTAGATAACACTCCTTTTAAGGAAACGAATATGATTCTCGATTCGCCCACAAGTCATTAACATTTTAGAAACTATCAACACGCAATTCAATAGTTAAAAACTATTAGTCAATAGTTAAAACGTTCAAATAGTTTCTTTCCTTTGAACTCTTGGAAGATGATGAAACTTTGAGAGCATCATACGGGTTAACAAAACAGGTTATCCTGTTAAAGCTCATTCAGTTTTTAGTATTTTTAATTGTCCTGTGGTTTCTGATGAGAAAACGAAATAGTAATTATGTAACAGAAAAACAATTAACAGGCGCTGAACTTTTAATTAGAGGCTTAAGTCTTAACAATGGGTAATTCAAAACACCCCTATACTCCCCCTTTCCCGGAGACGCCCCTGTATGTGCCCCTGCGAGGCAGGAGGTATATAGGGTTGTGAATCATGGGGAGATATATCACCTGGAGAAATTATCAACAATGAAGTAGAAACACCTTCGGGTGCACCAAAGGTTTTTGGGTTGACTCGTACTTTTTAAAGGCCGATTCATATATAGAGCTTCAGACGATTGATACAATTTATTGTGACAACAACGGTCAAAGCATCGATGATGATGATGATGATGACGATGACGATGATGGTGATGACGATGATGGAGATGACGATATGAAAAAAACACCCAGCAAAAAAAAAAAGAAATCAAATGTTGATGTATGTTATATATTTGGGAGGTTTGATATGTCAGATAGATACAGAGATATAATAAATAATAATGATTATCGTGAGATATTAAAAAGAGAGGTTAAATTAAGTTCACGTCCAATTCAAACCGCAATTTTCATACCTCAGTTGACGAAAACAAACCGCAAAGTACATGTAAAAAAGACCACAAACATCGCACTTCACTTTTGTTTTCTGTATTTTGTTAAAGTATTAACACCCCTACTCCCTGGGGCCGACAGACATGTTAATAAGACGATGTTCCGACTGATCACCCATCTAAAGAGTACTCCGTATCTTTTCTCTTCATTCATCTAGTACAATAATCTTTCTCTCTCTCTTGAAGTTGAAATCGCAGTCACCTCTGCAGGTATCCCCCGCTTTACACAATCACTGAAAAACCACAGATGAACGAGAGAAGAAGATAAATAGCTCAATTTCATGCTTTCTCGCCTCTGGCTATATCTTTGAACTCTCGTTCACCAAAAACAGAGAGGTTAAGCACTTCGCGTTTCGGAAAAACTTTAAACGATACGGGCATTTTCGTGAATCGGCGGCGGTAACAATATGATCGGAGAATGGGGATTGTGCAAGAGGATATTGATTTGTGTTAAGTTCAACATGAGGTTCAGCTAATATCCTCATCATTTAGCGACGAGCCGGGGGGCGAAGATTAACAAGGTTTGAATGGAGCGTGCTCTGTCCTTCGAAATTAAATCGTTTGCAGTATCAAAGTAAAATGAGGAGAGATAAGTTTTGATTCGAGATGAGCTGGCTCGGAGTATTATTTCGCAACCTTGAAAATGATCTCTTAATGGTAATTGGATATTGATAACATAGTTATTTTGTTACCAGCCGTTAAATTTACCCTTTTTTAGACTAAGTATGATTGCAGGGCCCTCAGGGATAACAGTATTAATATCGATGAGGCTACCCTGGGTAAACAAGACATATTATTATTATTATTGTTTGTTATTATCATTATCAATAGTATGTTCATTGTCAGTGAATATAATGAGTGCCAATGACTTGCTTTTAACATTACAATATTTAAGCAACAAGGCAAGTAAAGGGTGTCCAAATATGCTTTTCATGCGCAAACATTGGTTTTCCCACAACATTGATACAGAAAACTGCATGGGACTACCTTTAAAGAACCATCGATGAGCTAAGTTCAACGCCACCAATGAATTATGGTTTCTATCCAATTAAAAACCAATTTTATGAAAGGTCTGATAAAGCGAACGTATTCTGAATCTTATTGTAAGGATTTAGTTTTTTTTTTTTTTTTTTGTCACAGAAAATAATCAGGACGTGAAGATGATGTTTCCTGTAACTTGCTTTTTCGGGTTAATGGTGAGGAAGGTGTAAAAGATGTTGTGACAAATGACTTTTAAAAAGTATCTTTCGATATCGCAAACTTCCAAAATAGGAATCAGGTCACCATGTATTTGACGGCCTCTCCGTAAATGGTCCCCAACCGTAGGTAACTGAGGTGACTAAAGTATGACTTGTATCGATTGTGCGTTACTTTGGCCGTATTTAAAGTAATTGTATTTTGATGATTCACATCAATGACAATCAACGTTAGAGGTAACCACAAAGTTTTCAAACTGGAGGATTCGTGATGAGAGTGTGTTTGGCAACCTCCAATATTTTTCTGAAGTTTACATAACCATTCAATAGTTGACTGCATGGAATATCTCTTTATCAGCAGAGAAGAAACATTCATTAAAGAATAGTAGCGTTATTGAATTAGAATAGAAGAACTAACATTTACCCTATAATATATACAATTTCACCCGATTCATGACCAAGATTATGGAATGAATATAATTACAAAGGCATGGATATAAATAATCCCAGAGAATTATATCCTTTCAAATAACATTTTGAAATTTAGACTAAATATCGGACCACACTGTGAGAAAATAAATCCTTTGGCCAACCAGTATTCAAATTAAACATACCATATTGACAAGCATAGATAGAAGTATAATGGCTATACAATCAAAGCTGAGGGAGGTACAGAAAGATATATTTATGATAGAAACATTTATCTTTTTTTTGACAGCTATTATCCTTCTCATCATTCGACAAAGATGATGTTTATTCCACGAGTAAACCGCTCTTTGACGAATACCGCTGTCCCATGGCTTAATAATAGAGTTCTGGTAGCGGACATTTATCATTTTCAAAATGTCTTTCTTCTTTCCATTGACATGTACCTATACCTAGCTTGATCCTTTTCAATCTTTTAGAGGTATATAGGTGGTCCTCTCTCGTTCAATAGGTTAACATAGATAAATATATGACTTTATTTCCCTAACTTTTTGTCTTCATATTCTGGTTCCATGTCTGTTTCGTTGCTTCGATTCTTGTTCTCTTTTCCAAATCTACCCCTCCCGTAGTCCTCACATCCTAGATCCTCTTACGTTCTATCTTTTTTTTTCCTTTCTTTCTTCCCCCCCCCCCCTTCCTTTCTCTCTACATATCTTTTTTCTTCATGCTCTCTTAATTTATTTCTCCTTCTTCATCCCCCTTTAATTTGTTCACCTCCCTCATTTCCCTCCCTATTCTCTCTCATTCATTCAAGCTGATACATTCTTTCTCGCTTCTTTCTCTCTTTCTCTCCCTCTCTCTCTCTCGCTCTCTCTCTTTCTCTATCTCTCTCTCTGTCATTCCTTGTTTCTCACTCCCTTTAATGTTTGCGCTATATATTGCTGTCTCTGTCTGTTTGTCTCTCCTCCCCCTCTCACTCTCTCTGCCACTGTCTCTCTTCCTTGCTCTCCTTCTGGCTTCTCATTTCTCTCTAACTGAGCACTTAACTGTGTTTGTCATACCTGAGCTTATGAAACACATGAAAAATAACCGATTAAAAAGTCTTTTAATGATCAAATTCTCACTTAAAACTGATAAAGAAAGTTCCTGAAAGTCCTGTAAAAATAACATTTTGGCAATAGTCTAAATCTTATAAAAGTGACATTTATACGATTTATAAAAATTAATGGCACGAAGGCTGGAAATGGCACCTAGGGTTAAAATAATTTAATCTCTCATTAGCTCTTAACACCACTTAATTAAATGTTATCCATCAACACTTGGTTTTAAGGGCTATGATCAGGTATATGACGATGAGTCATTATGTAATCCAGGAGGCGCGATAGCTCAGTCAGTAGAGCAGTGGTCTCGTGATCCGGCGACCCAAGTTCGAAACCAAGTCGATGATAGTGCCCTTTGGTAAGACATTATCCTCATTACCAAGTCCCTTGGAGATGACCTTAAGCCGTCGGCCGTCTAGTTGCTTACTAACAAGCATTTATGCTTTCTTAGCAGTCAGTTAAAATAACCACCACAACACCAATCCATCATTTGATAATTTCCCTTCTTTTAATGTTTTCAATTTTGTTCGGCCTACTTCTATGTTTTATTCTTCTTTTAGGAGGGAATTACTATTGTTTATTTTTTGAGGGAGGGGGGGGGGGGGTAACTCACCTCGTTGTATTAATTGTCCGTATATCATCATCATCACTCACAATTAGTCCTATCCTAAAATAATCATTTATCAAAATATGATATTTCAATGCTGATTTGAAGGGTGAAGTCCACTATGAAAGGGGTTCACAAGTTCACAAGTCATTAGCATAGTCAAAGAGACGCCCAGTGCGAGTCGCGTGACCACTCGACCGCAACAAGGTCCATAGTCCAATACCATCATGGCGTTGGTCTGACCTCTATATTTGACACTGAGCTTATTTTTACCGGTATCAGAATGAACATTTTCTGATGTTAATTTGGCTAAAGGAATAGTAGGCCTAGAAATAACGATCACTATCGGAATAGTGCCAAAGTAAAAGGATATTAAACTGTAAACGGTGTGGTCAAGATTTTAAAGGTGAAGGTATAACTATTTCTACTTTAGGTTAGATGTAGTATTTGTGAACAATGGAATAGCATGGGTACAGATAGGAGGGGGATGGAGGGGGCCTAACTGTCGTAGTCAAGGGAGTAGGTTGACGAAATGAGAGGAGGTGGAGCGGTCGAAAGGACGAGGGTCTGGAATTGAATACCCCCTTTCCATTATAACGAATTCATTTTGTTTTGAAGTTCTCCCCCGGCCTCCCCCCCCCCCCTCCTGTTCCTTAATTCATTCAATATTTAATTCTTTCTTCATTTTACATATCGATGGGAGGGAGTGGAGGGGAGGGGTGTGGATGTTAGGTCGTGTTTGTAAACTTGTAACTTGATGAAGAATAACGTGAAAAAGAGTAAGAATCGGAATACTTACGTTTCGTAAGACTAGCTGTCCAACTTGCATCATCTGAATAACAGCGTTTATTTACATGCCTTAGCTTGAAATATACACAGTAACTCTTGAATCTGCGAGGAAAGATAAAAAACAATAACGTTCATGTTTTACTATCGTGTTGCAAATGATTCTTTAGAGTCACTACCCAACCCATCTTGTCGAAAATGTTATTCCCCGTGCTCACATTTTGTTTGTTATCCATATCTTTAAACTCTTCACATTCTTCTTTTTCTTCTTCATCTTTAAGCGTCTTCCTTTCCTTCTCCTCTCATCCTCCTTCTTTTTTCCTTCTTCATGTTGTTCTTTTTGGTGTTGTTGTTGTTCTTTAATAATCATCATCATTATCATCATCATCATCATCATCATCATCATTATCATCTCCTTCTACTTTTGCTTCTTCTTCTTCTTCTTCTTCTTCTTCTTCTTCTTCTTCTTCTTCTTCTTCTTCTTCTTCTTCTTCTTTTTCTTCACCTTTTTCTTCTTCTTCTTCTTCTTCTTCTTCTTCTTCTTCTTCTTCTCCTCCTCCTTCTTCTTCTTCATCTTCTTCTTCTTCTTCTTCTTCTTCTTCTTCTTCTTCTTCTTCTTCTTCTCCTTCTCAGGCTCCTCTTGAGCTGACGAGGCCTTGGAAGAACAACCAAAACAAACCAAGTAGTCAGTTTACTTACGTCATTCGATCTCGGAAGAAGAAGTTGTTGACTGCGTTGCGTTGTGCGTCGTCGCGTTTCTCGCCATAATTATGGGGTAAAATTAAAGCAACACCTATATAAAGAAACGAGAGACAAAAGGTAAAAACATAAATGAAGTAAAACTATCGAATTTTCCTCACCCTAGATCTAATTCCCGTTACAAACGAGGTACCATCTGCAGAGGGAGAACTTTAATACAAAAAAAAAAAAAAAAAAAAAATATGGGTGGTTGATGACTTCTATTAAAAATTTAATCTAAGTACACTCTTATTTTGAAAGCATGTTCCGATCAAACAACACAATGGTCTAAAACAATGATTATTGAGGTGTTGAATGTTAGAAACCTCATCACAATAAACTTTCAGATACAGCGAATATCTATAAAAGAAGAAAACATAACAGCCTTTTCTTATTGCCACCTTCAGAAACATTTGAACAAAATGATCTTGAATTTCCTGACTATTTCCAAAATAATTTACCTTCACTAGATATACCTCAAATAACTTTTAATTTTACTTACTATTTCCATATTTTTTGCTGATGTCGCAGAAACTGCTGAAACACGCTTTGACCTGTCTTAACGGTAGACACTTCTGACCGGCATTCTGAGGCTCTGTGATAACCAGTCTCCGTCTCTCACTGATTCCTATACCACAATGTACACTGCAGCCGCTCCAGTAACTCCATGCCGATACTTCACAATCGACAGCTGAAAATAGATGAAAAAAATATGAATGTTAAAAATCACGATAATAGATACAAGCGCAATATTATATTGACCATTTCAGGGGATGCTCAAGTTGCATTATTATCTTGGCGTTAGCCCTGTAGCTGCCCTTAGGCGCTAGAAACATTCAAGGAACAACTTCGTTCTAGGTACCACTTTATGCTCCTGGGTGACGTAACTATGGCACATGTAGATTAATGCCTTTGTTGTGACAGTTGCATTTAATTAAGTTATCACCCAAGTCATTTGTTTCTTGTATTATTGATGCATGACATGAATACACATATATTTGTAATAGCACTTCCTCAGGCAAGGTGCCTAGTATAGCGCCACCTATTGATAACCACTTGATATCAAACTCTCAGAAGGCTACATTAACATGGTTGTGCTGAGGTCCAAGAATCCCCTTTTTGCCAGAGCATCAAGGAGATTTCAGTCTTAAGATTGTCATTATGTCAGGCAAAGAGGTTAGTTTTATTGTATATTGAATCTATTTCTATGAATTCTTGAAACATAAAGTGTAAATTAGTGTGTGTATTTTGTACTTCATACTGAGATATGTTGATGTTGGTATGTAGTGTAAGACATGCAAGCCCATGCTGGTTTAATATGTATATTTGATTTGATATGAAGAACAAGGATAACAGTAAAGATACTGCTAATGATTTGATGATATATTATGAGAGTGCTGAAGCACTAAGTAGAGATTCAGAATTTATAATTGTTTAGATAATTGTTTAAACATGCTATAGTGAAGTCTAGTTGTGATACTTTTGGTGTGAGTTTGTATTTATGTAAAGCCATTTAATGCAGATGGACTAGAATAGTGACTGGGGTTATTTTAATGAGTTATAAAGATCATGACACAATGTACATTATTTCAAATATACTGTGTTTATTGCTATATTGATGATGCTATGATGTACTTATATTTATTATTCTTTATCTGTGATTTATCCACAGTTTTCACGGAATTTACTGGAACGAAAATGAAACTCCAATTAAAGCTACAATTCCCGTAGAAGCCTTTGTTTTGACTATTTATTTGAAATCGACCTCGCTGCAGCCACAGCCTTGCTAAAGCTAGTTATTAGTCCCGCGACTGGGACTCGAACCGCGACCAGTTTGATCCACAGTCCAGCGACGCGCATCCACTTGACTACAACCTGAATTAATTGATATAAAATCTCAAGTAAACTTTGCTGATAACATGAACAGGTGAACAGGGAGGAGAACTCAATTTACATTGCATGATACAAACGATGTTAAATCTCAATCTTTTTTCAAATCTGGAAGGCAAATCATTATAGCTGATGTGAAGATGGTTTAAGTATGGCAAATGTAGATTAATGCCTTGCTAAATGGTATTAGTCCGGCGGACTCGAACTGTGAATAGTTTGATCCACAGTCCAGCGACGTATCCGCTTGACTTTAACCCAAATTAATTGATATAAAACTCAGGTTGATTTTGCAAGTTTACTTAAGTTTTAGATCGGGTGTTGTTTTGATAGTTTAGGTAAACTTTGAAGATGGAAAAATATTTTTAAAAATATCGAAAGTCCAATATAACCTCCTGGAACATATTTACAATCATTTTCCTCTGCAAATAAACTTTTTCAAAATTGATCTTTTTTTGGTAAGAAACTACGTTTATTTTGTCTACTTTTAAGAGAAACTTCTCACGAAATAAAAGTGAAAGAAAATGTAAAATTGAAAGAAAAACAACACATTCCATCACGTCGTTACAAACATTCACTAGTAATTTACAATGGCTAGATAAAGAGAGCTCAACTTGCACGTAAGCGGAAACTCGAGATTTAGGTCTCTACAGACGATTGGCAAAAAATACAACTGGATTTTTGTCGTGTGACTGACCTCTTCGCAGTGGCGTAGCTATCCGGGGCATGGGAGGCACCTGCACCCAATTGATGAGTAAAAAAAAAAATTAAAAATAGAAAAAATAAAGAAAGAGAAAGGGAGAGGGCAAGGGGGAAAGGGTGAGGGGGAAAAGAAGAGGCTCATTGACCACCTATCGCAACCCCCCCTAATAAAATTCGCATTTGATGTATTCCGAGTAAGACCGGTGCCCCCAATAATAATAATAATATTCCGTGATTATAATAGCACTTAAAACACTGACAATGTCTAAGCGCTGAACAGATATATTATTACCCCGTTCAGCGGATTCAGGATTGCCTGCACACAATGTATGCACATTCTCCACTCCCTGAGGAGCATTCCAGCCAGGCGCCATTTTACAGACGCTCACAATGCTGAACGAACTACACTAACGTTCGCATCCTATACCGGGTACCCATTTAACACCCGGGTGGGGAGTGGCATATGTAGATTACCGTCTTGCCGATGAGATTGAGTGCCGGGCTGGGCTTTGAACCCCATGCCTTGTGATCTACAGTCTGGTGACTTATCCACTAGACCACAACACCTCTAGAATTGTCGCTTACGTGTCCCCTACAGGGTTAGAGTGACGCTACGCCTCTGACTAGCTGAAGGTATGATGGGAATAGATACATTTGGGCAAATTGCTGGAATAACGGGGAATGTTGGAACACGAATGTTATTTCAGGATGAAAGACGGGATCACATTTGGGTAATAAATCAAGCATGATTGGCCGCGGTTCACCTCTAGGGATCGGTTTTAAGATGGCGGGCCAGACGAATCAGTCATCAGTGAAACATGCAAAATTCGGGGGTGAGTGCGGTATCACTACTAGACAATCTTCTTCTATATTTTGATCATGTTACGTTGATAGACAAAAACGTTGTCTGAAAACATGGATTAAGGTAAGAGAAGCTCTTATTGAGTGTGAACTGTGAATCGTCTCTGAGTTTTCCATTTTCTCTGTCTGTCTGTCTGTCCCAATTCCTGTAGTTCCCCTGCTATATCTCAGTCCCCTTCTTTCTTTCTCTCTCTCTCTCTCTCGCTACCTCGGCTCCAAATCTCTTGCTCTCCTTCTTCCTCTCCCTCTTTCTTTTCGCTTTTCATCTATCCATCTTCTCTTCAGTCTTCTCTCTCTCCCTCTCTCACAAACAAACACACACACACACACACACACACGCACACACATTTCCTTTCCCTCTCTCTCCTTCTCTCTCTCTCTCTCTCTCTCTCTCCCTTATTTAGGAATTCTACTTGGGTGCGCAAAATGAATGGTATTTCACCATCAACGTGTTCAACTAGGTTCTTTTGTATTAGTTGTGACTTTGGTTCTTCGAGCCCCCCCCCCCCCCCCCCCTCACCCTCTCTAGCTCTCTCTCTCTCTCTCTCTCTCTCTCCCCCTTCTCTCTCTCTCTATCTCTCTTGCTCTCTTAACCCAAATAGAATCAACAACCACAATGCTCTTTCAGCCATAATCACACACACCAGTACATTCATGAATCCATTGCTGTCTTCAGAAGATGTAGAAGTGTCTTCACCATCATGATAATATTTGCATCACTGTTACCCTTTTGGGTGTTTGTAGTATATCAATTAACTTTATCCTGCACAGTGACGTGAACTTCTGGGACCCGTTTCACAAAGCTTTTTATCAATGACAAATGACACAACTCAGTGACAAATCTGCTGATAACCAATCAGAAGCAAGGATTTCACTATAACAAAAACTGCCATTTGTCACAGATGACGAGTTTTGTGAAATGGGACCGAGGTCCACTATGGCTCCTTGTTTTCTATACATCTAAAGAAGAGAGGTCGAGGGACTCGGTAGAGAGTGGTTGAGGGGAAAAAAGAATTGCAGCGAGAACAAGAGGGAAAAGAAAGAGCAGGAGATAGAGAAGCGAAGGAGATGAAGAAAATATAAGAAATCAAGCCGTTGTTGGAATACCAATCATTTGCGCACAAGTTCTTAATCTTCAACGGGAACGGAATTCCTTTCCGTGACTCTGTCGAAGGAATCTCAAACGCCACAGAAGAAGCTCATGATACCACGTCCCCATTACACTCTCATGGGTATAGGGCGGCAACGTGACAGAATTCCTACGTAAGGACTACCGAATTCTTCAACCATTTTTGGTTAATGGCTTCACTGTTGTTATTTTTCTTCAAGAATAATTATTATCCAACATATATAGATTAAAACTTTTTCTGATACGTATTGAAATCGTATTGACTGCCACATAATCTTGGCGTGTAATGTACATACATACTGTACGTGTGACAATAATTCCACAATGTCATTACATTTACCTTTAGGTGCCAAAACATGGGTCGGTCGGTCGGAAATCTTTTTCTTTTTTAAAACTTTTTTTTTCCTTTTTTTCTCCTTCTTTTAGCTAAAATTTCTCAGATTTATGTTTAAAATTTTTTTTTCTCTAAAAAACGGTACCCAAAAAAACTTTTTTTAAAAGTCGACCGTAGATTTCAAGATTTTGGGGTCGGTCGCAAAGGGCAATACAACATCTTTCTTTTTTAGGCCTTACTGAAGTGAAAATATTTCGCATTTCCCCAATATTCTGAAGATGAATCAGAAGAACAAGAAGATTCCTAGATGATGCAAAGATTAAAAACAAAAAAAATCGTGAGCCCTGCCAGAACTTGAGCTGCTTTCTGCTGTCTAGAGGTCAGAAAATTGACCTGTATTTAGAAGATTATGTAAACAAAGACGAGAAGAAGGGAATGTCGAGAGGAGGAATTTTTTGTGAATCAAAGTCAAGAAGCCGTGAGAACTGGACTACGATGGTTTACACCGACTATACAAATATTAAACATGGTCATTGAAATATTAAAGGTAGAAACAATGTTTTATCACGATGACCGGAGACGTGATTCATGGTTTTAAGGCATTAAGCGACGATGACCAAACTATCATCAACCAATGTCTTGGCAGAATATTGAGGGGCGGGTAGCAAAATTATAATGAGTTTAAACATACGAATATTCTTGACGATTCTTTCTCTAGTATATGCATGCATTTATCATGTTAATGTTGGAAATCTGTCCAAATGTTATAGGTCGTGAT